ACTCCTGGACTCATTGGTACTGGGTTGTTCTGATGATAAGCCGCTGCCGCATGGTTGTAGATCGGTGTACCAAGGCCAAAAGGGTTTGGTGTAGTGGGCGACATTGCCTGAGGAGAGAACATCTGATACTGTGGTGGCAATATTCCTGGAGGTTGAGGCGGGAACTGAAATGATTGCCCGGTATGTTGGTAACTATTCGGCTGGCAACTTGTATGTGTTTGCTTGGATGGCCCAGAACAACAAGACTTTTTCTGCACTGGCGGCTCTGGAGCTGGATTGGGTTTGTTGCCACAGCATCCTCCTGTCTGAACTGGCGCCAACGCCAGCTTCGGCTTGCAACAGCTCGAGATGGATTCACTTTGAGCAGGCAGTAGGCGTGGAGTTGAGCTTGCACTTGATGGTAGGGATGGGGCATTGCTACCGCTTGTCTCGGAAGGGGTTTGTGTGTTCGAAGAGGTGTCGGTTTCGGCGTCTAGACCGGCTCGGATAGCCTTGTCTAGGTAAAAGGGGGTGACGGCCGTAGATTTTCGTCTACCCTTTGATATCCGACTATTTCCAACAATGGTAGCTGTGGGCGCTTCTCGTTCGGACGGACAGGCGCATTGTGAGGTTTTGGGGATCGTGTAGTTGATAACAACACGCTCGCAGCTGCATGAACCAGTCGGATGCGGGCAGCTACTCAAAGGTCGACCAGGCTTCCGAACCTCAACCAGTACTCGGTCTCTGTGGTCGCATTTTGAGGAGCGATGACCGCGGATGCACGGGCCACTGGATTAGGTTAGTATCTCTTCACGGTGAAGGAGTGCGGTCAAAGGGTACGCCGCGTGCCTGAGAGGTGGGATATTGCATATTCAGAGAATCTTTGGCGCAGGCTGTACGCATGCAAGAGATTATGCAGTCAGAGTTTTCAGGAGGAAAAACCGATAGCAAGCTCCCAGAGATATGAAAACTTACCAGGCCACCTTCTTACGCTCTCCGTTGACTTCGGCCCACATGGTGCGGGGGTTGTAATGATTCCAGAGGAAATTTGCTCAGTCTGCAGCAAGTGACGACCAGTAACGCAGTGGATCCGGTATCAAAGAACAAAGTTGCTGGTGGGTTGGAAGAGCGAACGTCCACCACGCACGCACACGTGCGAGCGGGTTACAGAGGGGTACAGTGGCGTGTGGCGCGGGATGTAACCAAGAACCCTGCGTAAGGGACCCTTGTCGACGGGGGCAATAGCCAACGGGCTCGACTGTGGTCAGCTTGACCGTCCGGATGTGAGGAAGTAGATTGGATGCCAGATCTGACCTGGCATGTGTGATCTGTTAAGGGTCCAGTTCCAGATGGCTGGAGGGTCGATAATCCTGGAAATTACCGACGGATAGCGGCCACTAAACGCGAGTGTGGTGGTGCTTCATGCAGCAGTAGCGATTGTGAGCAGGAAGCGGTTGAAAGCCGGGTCGGTACGCACGGCCTACGCCGGGGTTGAGCGAAGCAATGTAATGGGGCCAGATGTACCGAGGAAAAGCAACGGAAGCAGAGCAGTAAGAACCCACGTTAACAAGCAAATGACCCAGCATAAGTTGTCCGGGAATGGCTGGCCTGTTCAGATACAGCGTGGATTGTGACGTATAGCACCTGACCGTCAGGCCATAGAACAGATACAGCAATCAGTTTCTCGCGTGGTGCATCGATGAAGGTCCTAGAGCCACGGCGTCAAGGCGCGGGAGATCTCTGGTTGGCGCTCAAAGGGTTGTGGTGAAGTGTGTGGATGGGAGGGTCGCCAGAAGATGGATTGGGTTTAGTGCCTTAGCGTGAGCAAGTTTCTTACTAAGAGGCTTTAGTTGCTTCACATCTGGTAGATAGGGAAGGTACGTACATGTGAGAGAAGAAATGCCGGCCAACAAGCCGTTTGGTGGACTACAAAGAGGAAGAGAGCCGGTTGCAACGGCGCGTGTGCAAGTGGCGATGAATGACCAGGTGGCACGAAGAGGATCGCTTTGCCGGTGAAGGTTTGTGGGACCACGGAAACCATATCGCGGCTACCGGGTATTAGACTGAGACGTGGGGATATGGAGTCGCTGTGCCGTGGGTATTTTTGGCCTGTCTTTGCACTTGAGCACTGCGATACCACCATGGGCAAGTGCGTAGCTGTTACCCTCGACTTGGGTGGCAGCGTGCGCACCCATCGTGGCGCCAACACCTCCACGCTACTCGAGCCGCCCTAAACTTACCCAAAGTCCGAGTGACACTGGATGCAACAACAGGCGAGATTCGCTAAGGGTGAAAAGATTATACGATGTGCTTGAAATTGCCCTGACCCCATGACGACAAGCCGTCTGCTAGTCCAGACGATGGTGTTCTGGAAAGCTGCCCAATCAAGTAGACAAGATGGTGGCTCGGATGGCTAGTGTGGCTGGGGTGGCTAGTGGAGCACGTGACCTTGCCTGTGGCTCATCGCTCTGGATTACCCGAATTTCAATCACGAGCCAAGACATTCCCTTCGTAACGTCGTTCTTTTCACCATGACATCAGACGCTGAAGATGAGGGGCTGGACCTATTCCAGGAGCCCGCTGATTACTACCAGCCAGAAAAACAGGCAACTTTTGCCTCTCACAAACTGCTTTCCGGCAAAGATCTTACTGTCCGGCTCGTGGGACACAATCCATTGTGGGTAAGACCCCATTCATACAGTAATAGTTCCAAACACAGCATAGAACTTCTATCCATGCTCGGTTTCTAAACAATAGTTCTCCTGGATTTTTCATCAGCCTGCCAGTCCATACTATAGATTTTCTGGCTACCCCACTCTTTCAACGTATACTCACTGAAATAATCAGGGCCACTTCCTATGGAATGCGGGGCGGACAATCTCAATATATCTGGAAGAAAATGCAGATGAACTTGTGAAAGACAAGACTGTGTTGGAGTTAGGCGCCGGAGCGGGACTTCCTAGTCTCGTTTGTGCGCTCAAAGGTGCTGCACAGACGGTAGTCACTGACTACCCTGATGCCGACCTAATCGATAACTTGCGATACAACATAGACCACTGCGAGCTACTTTCTAAGCCACCAAGTATTGTGGCCGAGGTTCGTAGCCGCTATTAGGTTTGACAGACTTCACTGACAAGTGCGCAGGGCTACCTTTGGGGTGCACCCATCAAAGATCTGACCAAGCATCTTGATAATGACTCAGGTTTTGATGTTTTGATCTTGGCTGACCTTCTTTTCAACCACTCGGAACATGAAAAGCTTATCAAGACGGTGGAGTTGACACTGAAAAAGGCATCCACCTCTCGGGCCTTTGTCTTCTTCTCTCCTTACCGACCTTGGTTATACGAAAAGGACATGGCGTTCTTTGATATAGCCAGAAATGCTGGATTCACCGTAAAGAAGATGTTTGAGAAGGTAATGGACAAGGTCATGTTCGAGGAAGATCCAGGGGTAAGTCCCGTCAGTTTATAAATTCCGAGACATTACTGACTCTAGCAGGATGAACTCCTTCGCCGTACGGTTTTTGCCTACGAGATGATTTGGGGAACCTGATTGGGCCCAGAGTTCTAGCTGCGAATGAACTTTGAAAGATCAAATCTCGCAGTCTTGGGCATCTTATGAGAACATATATTATTGATTCCATATGCCCCAAATCTGTATGTAAGGATTGAATGCCACAGCAACAGTGAAAGACATTTAAAATGGACCGAGGATCGTACCAAGTCTCTGTCGAGTTGTTTCAGAAAACACCCACTTGCCATCTTCCGCGGAGAGATAAAACACTTTCATTGGTGTAATCATCAGACATGACATGTCTGGACTGACATTGTGCGCTTTTCTTCACAATGTCGAGCCTCTTCAATTTGTATAAAAGTGTTTCTCCCAGCAGGCATCTTCCTCTACTCAAGAGACGCAACTCTGACCTCTGAACCTCTCTGCTTAACTGAATCCCACAAGGATTCATCCTCCATAGAAATAAAATTCCATTTACGTAACCTAGTTAAGATCCCACATATGGGGAATCGCACATCTAAGGCCGACACAGTCTCGGTAAATAGAACCATCAGTGACGATGTCGAGACTTACCGCATTTTAACGCGTATCGACACTACAGAGGCCAAAGCACTTTGTGAAAACATTAAATACCGCTTGCAGAATGAGCCAGTCAATGAGATTGACGTGCAAAGCATCTGGGCCTTTGAATCACCTGACTGGATCGATGCTGTCTTGCACAACATTGTCAAATTCGACATCTTGAACATGCAGCCTGCTGGAGGATATATCGCCCTATTCATTGAAACAGAGTTGTTTCGGGATCACGATAGGGGCGCTGCACGGGTCGTCGACATGTATGAGCGGCATAAGCAATGTCTCCGGAACGAGCCAGATCCACGTGCATCCAAAAGCCTCCGTAGAGCTTTAAGCAAATCACTTGGGAAAGTGTTGGGTAGGCCAAAGATCGGTGCAAGGGAACAGTGACGTTGTTGCGGCTATTGAGGAAATAAATTGAGCTGATGGGGTTTGTGTCTTGGGTGGAGAGGGTTGTCTTCACGAATATGTCTTGCAGATCATGTGTCAGACGGTTCTTGGAATTTTGTTTTTTCGCTTTCCAGTTGATCAAAGCTCACTTGGGCATTCAGACAAGAAACGGTATTCTTGTCTCATCCTTACCCACATTACATTGTTATTATGGTTCCTCATGCCGACATGAGGCTTACGGCATCGTGAACCATGCAGCCGTATTGAGTTCTCCCAGGTACCGAAGCATATCACGTCATAGCTCCACATACATCTACAGTTATTAATATGTATATAGTCTATGGAGCCGGCTCCGGAGTGTTTAGTTGCAGCTGCACTCCACAATCGGCGCTAGCGGCAACAGGCTTAACGCGATTCAGGGAAGCTTATCCGTTGCCGAGGTACCTCGATCTCCACAACCTCTAACAATAGCCATGGCGCATTTCAGACCGCCATGAAGTCGTCATAACCAGGCTTGACATTTCGTTACTTCCTTCACAAACATGTCGGTTCCTTCCAAACCCCCAAAGGCTATCCTGTTCGACATTGGCGGTGTAGTCGTACGTGGCCAACAATCATTCTCATTAACAACAAACATATATGCTAACTTCTCTACTTGATATAGGTTGTCAGCCCCTTCCAAGCGATCCTCGACTATGAAATCGAGAACAAGATCCCAGTCGGCTATATCAACTATGCGATTCAAAAAGGACCCCACGACACAGGTGCATGGCAGCTGATTGAACGGGGCGAAGTCGAACTCAATGACGCCTGGTTCGCATCGTTTAAGCAGCAACTTTCGCGCCCCGAAGTATGGTCGGAATATCTGCAAAAGCTGGCAAAAAAACAAAGCGTAGGGGGTGGTCAGGCTGTTGCTGGAGGAACACCGGCAGTACCCAACATTGATGCCAAGAGGCTGTTCTGGCGCATGATGAAGATCAGTCGCACACCGGATCCATACATGTACCCTGCGCTGCGCAAGCTGGGCGAGAGCGGGAGATTTGTACTTGGCGCTTTCAGTAACAACGTCACGTTTCCTACTGGCATTCTGGACGATGAAGGCGCCCTTTTCACAAAGGAAATCGTACATGCGCCGCCGCCGAATCCTTACGCAAATGATTCCGTAGACATAACCTCATTTTTCGACGTCTTCCTCGGTTCGGCTGCCGTTGGTGTACGAAAACCCGATCCCGAGGCATATAAGCTGGCGGTAAGGGAGATGGATAAGATTGCAAAGAAGAAGGGCATGGGAGAAGTGACGGCGGGTGATACGCTCTTCTTGGATGATATTGGAATCAATCTCAAGTTTGCGAAGAAGACGGGACTAAGGACTATCAAGGTCAATTTGGGCAAGACAAGGGAGGCGGTGATGGAGTTGGAAGCGGCTGTTGGTATACCGTTGTTGGATGAGAAAGCTAAGCTGTGATAATGGGTCTGAACTACCCCATGATTTACGTTCCATAGCTACAATTAGAATATATATTCTAGCTGTGTCATAACCCACTTACATGTTTCAGGATGCGTGTCTACGAGGTTGTAAACAACGTGACTTTCGAAGACCATTACATCATCTATCACCCTAATATGTTTGCGTCAATCATATACAGTCACTTACCCACTTACCTCGCTTGTCAAGCCAACAAACATACTCTATATGATCACATGCACAGCACACGAAGTCGTTCTGATAATTAGTCGCTCCACCAAGCACTATATGGAATAGCTTCCCATCACTTTGAACCACCGCTCAATTCCCTTTCCAAGCATTCCTCTCGTCCACATTCAATCACTCAAAATGTCCAACCGACCAGTTCCAGTCACGGGCGATCGACCCCTTGCACTCGTCTCCGCTTTAGACCTCAACACCTTGTAATTCATCAACTTACTTGTCCAATCCAATTGGCCACCCTCAACCGGCGCCGCCGTGCAACTCGGACGCCAGATACTGAGCAACGGGCAAGTACTTTACAAGGCCGTGGTCATGAATTGCGCCGGGGGCAATATGTACGGGAATATCAGCCTTTTGACAGACATTGTGGTGGGGTTTTCAAGGGGTGAGGCGCTGTATAAGTTGTTGGAGCACGTGGAAGTTCAGGGTTGGAATAGGATTATGGAGGTGGATATGAGAACAGATAGGTGAGGGGCATATGTCTGGTCGGGAAGTGATTCAGTGATGGGAAGTGAGTTTGTAGAGTGAAGACCGAGATGATGGTTGAGGAGGAGGCTCACGAAGCGTTTTTTATTTGGAGGTTATCATGGAGTTACTTGTAGCAATAGTTAGCTATGGAGCACTTATTGAGATACAACAACGCAGTTACATGGACTGTTATGAAGATGACGCGGTGTACGGAGGTGCCTTTCAAAAGTATTGTCTGACGCTAATCTCGGCGCTTCGGCGCAACTCTTCTTGGCGCAACACCCACCTTTGAGCTGAGGAGCTGTTTGATCAGTCTACCTGCTACTACGTAGTTATCTTCTTACTATGGCTCCTTATACTGATATATATACTCGTACCTTAGTAATCGCATTAAAGTCACCTCCTATTGGCAAGAATACGTCATAAGTTGCTGCGCTAACTGGTGTTCATCCTCGTACTGTCGATCGTATCTATAGTAGAGCTATTGCTGCAGGCTTTGAGCCAAACGAACTTCCTATTAAGATCCTTCCACACCACGTTCAGGATGCTCCAAAGCCTGGTAGACCTGCTAAACAGGCAGAGGAAGTGAAGGAGCAGATATTTCAACAAGTACGACGCGATAGATACGGACGAGAGAAGAGCTGTGCTGACCTTGCTGGTGGGCTCAGTCTCTAAGGAGTCGAAATCTCTGCCTCTACCGTCTGGAGGGTATTGAGAGCAGCAGGATACAGGAAGACCAAGCCAACGAGGAAGCCTGGGTTGACACAGGAGATGAGGAGTGCTCGTCTTAAGTGGGCATTAAAGCATAAGGACTGGACGTTGGAGGACTGGAAGAATGTCATCTGGACAGACGAGACGTCGGTGGTAATCAACCATCGACGTGGGGGTTATAGAGTCTGGAGAAAGGCAGATGAGAGAGTAGTCAAAAGCTGTATCCGTGAGAGATGGAAGGGATACTCTGAGTTTATGTTCTGGGGTTGCTTCTCGTACAATAAGAAAGGTCCATGCCATATCTATCAGCCAGAGACGAAGGCAGAGAAAGAGGATGCTGCTCGTCGGATTGAGCAGCTCAACGCCGAGCTTGAGCCTCTACAGCGAGAGGAATGGGAGCTGTCAGAGTCTATGAGGAGGACAGGGCTGCGCAATAAGCGTGGTAGGAAACCTCAATGGAGATGGACAGAGAAGACAGGTAAGCTGGTGCGTAAGTCTGGAGGTGGCATAGACTGGTGGAGATATCAGACCTGCGTTCTGATCCTAAAGCTGATTCCTTTCGCTAAAGAGTGCCTCCAAGATAGACCTCAGACTGTTGTAATGGAGGATAAGGCACCTAGCCACGCCCATCACTATCAGAGTGTGATATATCACCTATACGACGTTGAGAGACTACTCTGGTGTGGTAACTCGCCAGACTGTAACTGNATTGAGCCATGCTGGTTCTACATGAAGAGAGAGACTACAAAGAAAGGAGCTCCACAGTCAAGGGCTGAGGCAGTTAGAATCTGGCAGAACTGTTGGAGAGATCTCTCGCAACTTAAGATCTAAGCTTGGATTGAGCGAATTCTTNTGCATATTCAAAAGATAATTGAGCTACAAGGTGGTAACGAGTACATAGAGGGGAGAGACAAGCCTCGGCTAAGGCGGCCGTACTTCGGTTAGATTATTCTTGGCAGACAATACTTTTGAAAGGCACCTCCGTACTCGACGACATGCTGCATATGCAGGTAAAACGAGTTGAGAGAAATGTATAGCAATATGACGGTATGGGAATCTAACATAAGCAGAACATACAAACCACTAGCAACTCAAGCCTCCGCCCTGAAACTCCGTACCCTAACCCAAAACACCCATACCCACTAATAAAGTTTATACCAAACGCCTGTTCCCTCCCCACAATCCACACGACCCATTCTTACCTCACTTAAGCATAACCTAAAGTAAGTTTCCAATCATGCACCAAGAAAGAAACCCCTGGTTTATATCCGACTCCACGCCAATTCCAACCCATCACTCCCACTCTTCCCCAGGATCAATACCCGCAACCTCAAACACACCTCAACAAAAACACTCACATGCATCTCCTCTCACAGACCTAGCTCCACACTGATAAACCCAATACCTAACCACTACCCCCCATTCCAGAATGAAACAATCCATCAACGCCAAGGATCCCCTGCTTACTTACTCCATCCGTACCCTCTTCCCGTCAATGAACCCCCCACCCCAAAAAGAACCTCGATCCACCAAACCCATACTCTACATTAGACATCACTCACACCAAACCTCCAAATCAACACCACAAACCACTGATTCAGTCTACATCGCTACCTCTCACCGTCTTTTCTCCTCCCTGTCAAACTAACCATCTATGCGAATCGAGTAAGTACCTTACACAAAGTACGCAAACCGCGGAGAGAGACAAAGGTATACCGGTGTGTGTGTGTGTATGCCATTGGCCATTCCCATCGGGCCGAACAAAGAAGGCGCGGCAGTTCTTGCCTTATCGCTCAGCTCGCCTGCAAGCCTAGTATAAATTTGTGTGCCTGTGCTTTTGTTTTAGTGTTGCTGACGGTGATTATGCGGTCATGTCTCCCTCTCCCTCTCTCTCTCTCTCATTTCCTTTGTCTATGCCTTCGTAGTTTCTTGATGCGAGGATGCGCGTAGAATGGATACATGGTGGGTTGTGGAAACAAAAAACCCTTTAGAAATGGAGTTAATGTGGAACGGATACGTAATGTACAAAAAAAAGGTCAGCGTAAAGTAGTGCCGAAAACCCATTTTTTCTTTGTTCGCGGACTTTTTAACCGGGGGAGGGAGCGTGCACGAATGTCATTTCCTAGATTGTAATGGAGACAAAAAGGTTAAATATGAATTTGAGCGGAGAGAGTCATGGCATGCGGGTCTTGTAGAGGCGGCACTTCGGTGGTAATGTTGAATTTTTTTGTTTTTCCTTGTTATTCAATGATATGCTAGGTGTTTCTCTATGAACAAAAAACAGGGGTTTCTCTATTCTGCCAAAAGGGGGGGGGGGGAATTGGGAATCTCAAAGAGTTTGCGCTGTGGTATCAAGGGTCCCGCCGTCGTAAAAGTGGTTGAAATGAAGAATCCGAAAAAGTCCAAAAAGGTTGCGGTGAGCAAATCTGCCACTCGCATGCGTACTGAATGGCATTTCGCCCGGAATCGAGAAGAGAAAGAAACATGACCGTATACGCCGAATGTCCAATTGTTTCGTAGCCAATGTGCCCTGCAATTCCCGTAAACGCCTGTAATCATTTGTCCATGTTCTCCATGGAGTCTGGGTATTGTGCTAAGATGTGTGTGCTCGTAATGAAATATAGTATATATGTACACGACGTTCTTGTCCCGTTAGTCTAGGGCAGTCTGTGGCGGATAAAACGCGTCTCCATGCTGTTTCTTATCTTTGAGACAGACACCTTGCCGCCCAACTTTTTCTTGTAGGAAGTGGAGGCGCTCCGTATCATTGTTGTCGAAGGCAAAGGCGCCGCTCCAGAAACCGCAGTCGATGTTGGTAGTTTCGTTTCGCGAGACGACCTGGGCTTGGGCAGCACGATCTACCGGCGGCAGACCAGGCTTCTCGCCGGACAGTGCGCTCAACATGTCAATTTCGCTCATACCGGGCATGTGGTGGAACAGCTCCGAATTCAGTGTCCAGCAGCGTAGTCCGGGGCTCGGGTATTTGCTTCGTAGTTTGGGATCGGGCGAATTCTTAGGGTGCTGCCACTCGGGCGTTGGGGAAGGAGTATTCTCTCCCTTGTTGCAAGCGTGCAAGAGGGCGACGTCAAAGGCGCGGGCTCCGTTCTTTTTAAGTTTGGGGGGTGCAAGATCGTTGAGGAGTCGTTCGGCAGCTTGGCGGGTAACGGCGTATCCAAAGGAGCAGAGAGGTAGTTTAGAGCGGTGCATGACGCGAGTCCGCTCGGGCATGCCCAACAGGCGGAAGAGAGCCTGGGTAAAGGGATGCAAGTCGAGCCATGAGGGCATGGTGGGGTCGTGGTACAGCTTGTGGGCTATGGAGCTCAAGTTGTACGACTGGCGATCTGTCTTGGGGCCGTCTTCTTCGACGACGTCAAAGTAGTCGCCACAGTGGCCAAGGTAGAGGATGTCCCACCCATCCTGATCACCCCAGTACTGCGTGCGGTTTGGGTTCTTGTTGATGGTGGGGTGGCGTGAGCGTACTGGGGGAAGGAGCTGGCGGGTGGCACTTGCCGCCAGAGGTATCTGGACGCTGCGCAGACGAATGTCCCAGTCGACGTCGTCTTCGAGGATGAGGGCCGTCTCGACGCCAGAATCCAGGAACCTGAGGGAGTGAGTCAGCAGGTGGTCATGAAGAAGAGAGGAGGAAATTGGGGGCCGTTGCATACCAGCGCAGGACATTGTGATGGCCGAGCCAGGCTAAGATGGAGCCCTTTTGGGTATTGGAGTGGCCGTTGATGAAGCGCTGGACGTCGCCTTCTGTCCACTCTGGCTGTTGGGGGATGGTGAGGTCGATTTCGGTGACGTTGGCGGCTTGGATTAGCGGCCGTCGACGGGCGGACCCTTCTTTGGATACGACGAGGACGGTGCCGAAGCCCAGCGTTCTGTTTGCTGGGACTTTGACGGAGTGCGACTCAACCGACGATAGCCATTGTGCGTAGGCGCTGTCGGAGCTTCTGCTGTGGTACCAGAGGCCAAGGACGACAAGGAGGATGAAGATGAGCAGCGGTGCTGGGCGCTTTCTTGAGGCGAGCATGGTGACGGGCTAAGGAGTTGGACCTTGTGGAGTGGGCGCACGTGTGGAATTATAGTACATGTCCGCGGGGGTTGGCGAGGAGGAAACACAGGGGCGACGCTGGGGTCACAAGAACAAAAACGAGTGTGAAGGAGACATGTGGAGGAAGGATGGCGGCGACAGAGGCAGGACCGAGATAGGCGTGTGTGCGGGCGGGCGGCCATGTCTAAATGTCGCAGCGCATCCAACGGGAGCTAGCACAGACATGGCGTCGTGTAACGGGTGTAACAGGCTACTTTAGATTACCACGGCCTCAGCTGGGATTGTCGTCATTTGGGCCATGGATGGATGCGCAGTGCAACCAGGGCGCCCAGGCACGAGGGCCGTGGATGATTCATGTCCGATGAGCTATGTATATATACTTGGCTCCATGTTCCTCCTCGGCATCCACAGCCAGTCGGCGGCTTGCTTTCCCTGGGCGCATACCTTTTTTGAAGCCTTGCTCGTCCCGCATCGTCGCGCAAACGGCGTAGCCAAGCATGGTTGCAGTTCCATGCTGGCCGATCGCAGATGGGATGCCCGGGGCCCGTGCATTCGAGGCCGCGACGACGAAGACGACGACGACGATGATGATGATGGTGGTGGTGGGATGATGTTCAATGCTCGAGATAGCGCGAGGGCCAAATCCACCCCGGCCAATCCACCATGGATACTTACTTACACGCACACACACACACACACGTACACAGACTTATTACACAAACACACATCCATTCTTACACATGTACACCCTAACATACCACACACGCCCACTGCAGTGCCACGCTACCCTCCATGTCTTGTCTGGTTCCAAGCTGCTGCTGCCACCGCTGCCGCCGCCGCCGCCCGGCTTGGTAGTCTGTGACATGGTGTGCGCCGCTGCGCCCTGAAACTACTAGGCGTCCACCCTTCTCGGCTTCTCGTCCTCCGCATCTCACCCTGCCCGAGACCCTTTTTCCCCCATCTCGACAGAGCCACAGGCGAACCATACGTTACGCACTCGTCCACCCTCCCACCCCCGCACACTGTTGCCACACGCGCACCACATGCCCGCCCACTCGCTGCCCCAATCGTAATGGCCACGCTGGCTTCGCCCTCGCCCCCATCTTCCCCTTCGACAACAATGCGCCGCCGCAGCTGGGCCCGCAAGGTCGAGCGCTACTGCTGCGTCGCCGTCACCTACTTCCCTCTTGTCTTTGTCTACGGCCTCACCTCGTGGGCCGTGTGGGTGCAGACTGGCATCGGCCTCGTGCCTTCGCAGAATGCCTGGACGGGTATGTCGTCGTCGTTGCCCTTGCTTATGCGACACCACCGCCGCGCCAACAACATACTCCCACGCCCCTGCTAACACATGTCCGCCAGGCAAAACATCATCCGCCCTCGGCCTCTTCTTCTACCTTATGCTCAACTGGAGCTACACCACCGCCGTCTTCACCGACCCCGGATCCCCGCTCAACATCAAAGATGGGTACAGCCACCTGCCCTCGCAAGAAGGCGGCGAGATACACTACACGTCCTTTACCGTAAAGGCCTCGACCGGCGAACTGCGCTTCTGCAACAAGTGCCAGACCAAAAAACCTGATCGCTCCCACCATTGCTCCACGTGCAAGCGCTGCGTTCTGAAAATGGACCACCACTGTCCCTGGCTCGCTACCTGTGTTGGTCTCCGCAACTACAAGGCCTTTGTCCTCTTCCTCGTATACCTGAGCGTCTTTTGTTGGGTATGTTTTGCCACGTCGGCTACATGGGTTTGGAGCGAGATACTCAGCGATGGCAAATACACCGAGTCCTTTATGCCTGTCAACTACGTCCTCCTCGCCGTGCTATCCGGCATCATTGGCATCGTCATCACCGGATTCACCGCTTGGCACTTGTGGCTCACAGTAAAAGGTCAGACTACCATTGAAAGTTTGGAAAAGACGCGCTACTTGTCCCCCCTGCGATCCACGATGAAACATCAGCTCAACGACAGAAATTACCTTGATGCGCAAGCAAACGGACGACTGAGCGTAGGGGATCAGTTACGCGAGATCCATGCCAATGTGCTGCCAGGCGTCACAAGACCCGAGGAAGGCGAAACCCCTTCGCATTCTACTTCACGCTCCCCTGTTCCCGGTCAGGCCAACGGCTTCTCCCACTCCTATCAACAATCGTACGAATACCGTGAACGTCAGCAGAACCAGGATCGATACGACAACTACCTCGACGAACGCGACAACGAGCAGCTCCCCAACGCATTCGACCTGGGTTGGCGACGTAATCTTGCCCATGTTTTCGGTCCTTCGCCCTTGAAATGGCTTGTGCCCATACCTAGTACCACGGGAGACGGCTGGTCTTGGGAGCCCAGTCCAAAGTGGCTCGCCGTCCGTGAGCGCATAAAGCGAGAGAGGGAACAAGAGGAAAGATTGCAAAAGCAGCGTGAGCGTGCTGCAGGCTGGGGGGTTGATTCTCCTACTGAAGCTGAATTCAGGCGCCCTACTCGCGGTCCCGACGGATGGATGCCCGGTCAGCGTAGTCAGCCCATCGCACGACCCGCAAGACGTCCCGAGTGGCAGTCAGCAGTCCGCCATGGCGAGCAAACCCGGTACCTCACCACCTCGAACGGTGTTGTAAGAGGTCCCATTGACGGTCGGAGAAGTCCGAGTAAAGCAGACCAAATCCTAGGAAGAGATCGTGCCATGTACGCCGACGACGACGTCCAGCTCCAGCCAATCGAACGAAAGAAGTTTGACCCATACAACTACACCTCAGAGGATGACGAGGACGAATATGACGTTTCCAGTGATGAACAAGCCGCAGACCAGAGAAAAGCTCAGCAAACAAAACCCGTGCTAGCACCGCCCCCAAAAGGAACATCGAACTGGAATGATATCCCCGAGGGTTTCCTGGATCCTGCCCCTCAAAGAAAAAAGAGCGTTAGCCAACAAGGTCGTCCCTCTAAGAAGCCAGGCGATTGGGAGGACTGGGCCACATAGCATGAGTACGACGTTTGTTTTTGAATGGGTAATGGATATGAAGCCATGTCCGGATTCTGTAAATGTAATGTTTGCATAGCATGAGCGGGGGGGTTCACGGCGTTTGTTGTGTGCAAAGGGAAAAAAACACATCTGACTGGCCTTGTCTATTCATCCAAGAAAGAGTTAGCTTAGACATATTCTTATTCGCATTCTGTATCTTGAACTTGATTTTATCTTCACCCATGTTCTTTGGTCTTCTTTTTCAGTCTTCGGGCTTAGTCTTTCAATATGGACTTCTCTGAACTCACACCGTACTTATTCTCCACTGTCTTTTTGCTAATCTTTTCAACTAACTCAAGCTTAGCCTGAACAAAAAACACTACCCACTGGTGAAGGCGGGTATAGAGCGAGGCCAAGGTTCGAAAAAAGCACTCTAGGTAACTCAACAGACGCCACTACACTACTACTAGCGGTAACAGGGCAATACGTTGACCCAAAGGTATTATAAGATTTGACTATGAAGTACTGAACCCAAGAGCTGTGGCACGTGAGAAGGCAATATAAAAGCGCAGTTATGTTAGCAACTCAGACAACTCATTATCATCCTTCTTCTTATTCTCTCTAACATCAGCCATCAACACAAAATGAGACCTTCCTGGGCCCTGTTCGTCCCCTCTCTTTGCGTAGGAATCCATGCCTTTGGCCTTCCACCAGTTGGGGACTCCACCCAGCATGTACTAGGCTCGCTTGATGTCTCTGGTCAATCATACACGTGCAACAATGTTAAGGAACCCCTGAGATGCAATCGAGTATTCATCGAAGCTCACACATGAAAATCCAGGTGCAACGCCCTCTCTAGAATGTGTTCCTCAGTCATCAGAGGCAAACTGTGACTGCACTTGTTCCAATGGCATTCAATTTAACCAGCCCCTTTCCCTCGGTTCGACCAGTAATCGTCTTTCGGGTGATTGTCAAGTTGAGAAAGACGAATGTCTGCTGCGTGAGGCGCAACTCGCGTATGACTTCAACGAAATCAGACTATCCTACATGGTTCAGGAACAGCAGACAGCCGCCGAACTCGACGCACTCAAACTATCCAGCCTCCAGACCGAACAACAGCACCTGAAAACAGAGAAAGAACTGCGAGAGCAAATAGCCGTGTGCCAGACGAAGCAGATGCCGCCGCCGCAATACCAGGGCTGCTACAGCGACACGTCGAATCGCGTGCTCCCCGTCTTGACCGAAGCGTGAGACATGACGCGCGAAAAGTGCGCCGCTATCTGCAAAGACTACAAGTACTATGGGCTTGAGGATCATAAGCAATGCTTTTGCGGAAATAGCTTTGTGGGGCCTACGGCTAAGATTGAGGAGAATAGGTGCAATAGCAAGTGCCTGGGTAGCAACGACATGTGTGGGGGCGGTTGGGCTTTGAGTGTGTATGTTAGGTGAGTGGGTACGGTATACGATGAGAAATCGTAATAGTATGGTTTTCACAGCTTTGTGGTAAAGAGAATAGTATAGGGTAGATTCACAAAATGGAGAATAGAGGGTGTTTGAAATCATGTATTGCGCTACATTGGTGCTACTGCAAGTTATACATTCGAAATAGGCAATGGCAGTGATACACTTTCACTGTATACTAATACTAAGCATTACACAAAAGCACTCCTAGGCAGCAGGAAAAGAACCTCAAATAACGTCCCCAGCACAAAAAGTCTACAAACCCACTTCCATCATGATCATGATACAAATTGATAAAAAGTAAGGGTGGTAATTATTAGCTCGAGTAGATCTGAGCGACGCCCGGTTTACACTAAACCATTTCAGCAAGACCGACCACATAGGGAGTGACTTCTCTATATCTGAGAACTGCGTCCTCTCACAAGCATCAACACGAATACAGTCGCTCATACCAACGCATTTAGTTTGGAAATCAACCATCTTCGAGTATTCCGAAAGCAAACAAGAGACTAGTACCATTGTCCGGTACAGGCATGGGATGAGGTCCAAGTCTCAAAAAAGCATTCTAGATAACTTCAACTCCGGCTAGCTTCCCGCAAACGCATAGTCACGGATAACATGTCCCAAAGACGCACTAGCTACCAACTTGCATACGAACCATGAAATTGGCATTTCCGAACCCCGCTCACTGCCTACCTACCATCCGTTGAACCACGCCGGAGCTAGAACCTTTGCCGAAAACACGCTTATCACTGTACCAAATACTCAACAGTGCGTAATACACTAACGACTAGTGCAATGGGGATCTCTACGTGCTGCACCGCAAGGTGAACCTGTCAGTGACAAAAGGTTTCTACGCACACGATGCGCTGCTGCGACTAACAGTACCCGGCGTCTAGGCAATACCTTGACCCAAACAGTAACATGTTGAGATACAAAAGGATTACTGACAGCCAATGACGCAGACAAGTAATACGCAAACGGCATACAAGATCACTGCTCTATAAAACATCTACTCGCTACCCATCCATCGCTGCAGCAATCCTTTCCAGCACCAAACAATTACACACAATGAAGACCTCTCATATCCTCTTTCTTTCCACGCTATACGCAAGTGCGCATAGCTACATGGCCCCGCAACCTGTGGGCTCCATGCCACGCAACCTTGGCACTCCTGACTCCATGCGTAGTTCATACACGTGTGGCAATGGTGTGCGACTCTGCATTCTCTGATGATGCATCAAAAAGGCTAATGTAACAATAGGTGCCAAACCTTCTGTAGAATGCGTTGATTCAACTGCAAAGCCAAGCTGCGATTGCACCTGTACCAACGGCATCCGCTTCAATCAGACACTGTCTACAGATGCGCCAGAAAATGCGTCGTGCGGTACGTGCGAGGCAGAGAAGGAGCAGTGTCTTGTGCAATTGGCCATCAACGCCGGTCTCGCCACAGCGCGTGAGCAGCAGTTGAAAACAGACTTTGAAAATGCATCCGCACGCGAGACGCAGCTGAAGACGGACCTCGCCAACGCAGCCGCGCGTGAGCGGCAGCTAAAGACAGACTTTGACACTGCAACCGCACGTGAGCAATCCTTGAAGACCGATCTCGAAAATGCAATCTCGCGTGAGCAACAGTTAAATACCAAGCTCGAAACCTCGCAACAAACCTGCCAAACAAACGAGCAAAGCCACCTCGCCGCCCAACACGACCTCGAAGCCCAACTCAAACCCTTCAAGTCCTCCGTCTTCAAAATCCAAAAATGCTACTTTACGACTGCCAAGCGCGCTCTCACGGACTTTTACATCAAAGACCTAGACATGACGGCGTACAAGTGCAAGCACATTTGCCGCGGCTCAAAGTTCTTCGGCCTTTCTGATGGTCATAGTTGTTATTGCGGGAATACGCTCAGTGCGGATTTGACAGAGGCGGGTGATGCGGTTTGTAGGGTTAAGTGTGGGGGTGATGTGTATGCTTGTGGGGGGGTTGGGACGACGAGGGTGTTTGTGTATGAGTATTGAAGGGGTGGGAGGGAGTGATGGGGAGGAGGTTAATAGAGGGGTACTGCAATGGATTAGCCTTTTCAAAGGTATAAGAGTAATCGTGTAGATGATTTTCGTTTTCCCCCCTGTAAGTGGTTCAGCATTAAGAGGGAACATTTGTGTGTGCTGCCAAATGTACATGTGGCTGTGCATTGGTAAAAAAATCTATAGAGTCGTTGATAGATACATCTTGTTTAAAAAATAGAGTAGTGAAGTGTTTTTTTTAGTAAGATGCATTTCAGCCAACAAGTGAGGGTGAAATCAAAAAAATTCTGAGAATACTTACCGCATCTACTACCATTCTGTGGGGGGGGGGGTCTACACTAGCTTATGTAACTTCCTTTCCCCCCCCCTTCCCATCCCATCCCCTTCCCTCTTTCATATGTGCGATTGTACGGTTGATTAAAGTTTCACGCGAAAAGGATTGTGGAAGAGCATACAGCGGCTCCGATACTAGATGATGCGGAACCAGCGGGGTCTTCCATGTGAGCAATAGCGGTATGGTCGAGTTTGGAACACGCATGCCGCTGGGGCACTGATTTGTTTTTGCGGCGCTGGTTGGATATTCGAGGGAGGCACCGGGCGTGGTGGGTATACGGTTGGAGAGGGTGACTGAGATACTTGAAGCGAGGTGAGAGAGTTGGTGAGGTAAGGGTAGTATGTGTGGGTGTATTTGTTTTGTTATTTTTTTGGGAAAGGAAGGGGGTTGGGGTTTTGTTGCATATGAGGCGTGTGAAGAGGTGTTGTAAAGTAGTTGAACTTGAGTGGATGAGGTTTTTTCACAGCAGTTCTGAAAAGGCCTAGGTTTTGGTATTGCTCGTGCTCAAGCTAAGTACGTAGCAAATCTCACGAGTACTTTCATTTCCCTGCCTTGTTGAGTGAAGATGCTATCGCCGAACAGCGGAATTGCATTGTTGTGTCGCGGTCTTGAGCTGAGATCTTTTCAACGAGTATACATCGCTCTACATAACTCCTCTAGATCTATAATCAACTCTCAATACTCAGCTTTGCCTCTCCTTCCTGGAGCATTTGATTTATTTCTTGCCAAATTCGGTTGTTAGACCAATCCTCTACTCCTGTCCCCCATGCTGGATCATTGCTTAGCTGCTGCTGCCACATACGCTTCATCTCGTCCCGCTGTTCCTGCCCTGTTCTGTTCCACTGCTGCTGAATCTTTCTAGTCTCTTCCTCACTCTTTGTATGATTCTCTGATAGCTCGTTCCTATAATCCACAAGTTCGTCTCGAATTCTACCCCGTGGAAATGAAATAATACAGTACTCTGCTAGCAAACCCTGAGGGTGAAACTCTAACGCGTGCCTTGTCCACTCCCCTGCCTCTTGAAAATACACGTCGCACTCTTTCAATGGACAAGAGAACGGCCAGTTTCTGCCCTTGTCAAAATGATAGCGATCCACAGCCTCTACTACAGTAATCCAAAATCCCCAATATTTCATATCTCCAAGTGAGTCTCTATACCGGATTTCGTAAATGCGTCCTACTGGGCCTGAAAATCGCTTTGCGGGCACAAGAACTGCCTTCCAGTGTTTTCCTAGATTGTTCTTCTTCCATGAACTGTCTGGACACCGCTGGTACACTGCTATTTGCAAATTCTGTGTAGATGGATCACTTGCACCTATATCCGCTGGAACGTCGGCTTCCTGGACACTAGATGCAGAGGCTAGAATCCCAGGGGGTGATGATTGAACTAGGTGTTGAAGTGTCTTTTCAAGACAATTTACCCCCTTTCCTGTTGATATCGATACCTCAATCTGGTTAATAATCACCCTCTTTGCCCTTGGACACCTCCTGTGAAACACCTCCCAGAAGTGTCTGATTCGATCTTGCTGGACTTCCTTAGCGCCGTTACGGATTAGGCAAATTTGTTGCCGTGTTCCAAGATCACAATCAATCTGGATATTCTGCACCTTGGCTAGAAAGTCCAAATCGTTGCTAGTGTACCCAGCGTAGCCACCATCAAGGAGCCAACGTGCCTTGATCACAAAGTATGTGTCTGAATAAGCCCAAAAGAGCTTCTGCGCTTCTTTTCGGAAACTAGAGGACACTCTCATAAGCTGAAAGAGAGTAGAAGCAGAGCAAAAGGTAAGAACATGAAACTGAAGCTCCGCTGGTAGGGTGCTGAATCGGAAAAGCCGCTTGCTTAGGTAGAAGAAACCGGTAATAGTGTCGCTAGGCTGAACGTATAGACCAAATGGCGTTCGCTCTTCTCCCTGTAATGTCAGATAGACATTTCGTTTTAATGCTTTCGTCCAGGGCGGGTACGCAAGTACGACGCGCATATTGCAGCTAGACTCTGATTCCATAGCCGTATGGTAATTCTCGTGAGTTAGGCTGAAGCCGCTTAATATTACACTCAATAAGAGTCTTCTTTTTCTTCTTCGATCGATAGTTTGTGGTGTGGGGTTGACAAAGTAGGCTGTGCTAGTTGTCAGGCATACTAGCCACGGCGCTGACATTGGGTTCCCATCTGCATTGTCTTGGCAAGACGCTACTCAAATACTACTTATTTACTATTACCAGAATATTAGTTGAAGCTGTGGCATTGCAACAGTCCCTGCAGGTCTCAAATATATGCCACACCCTTTTATCCTGTTTTCTTGGATAAGCTATCTGGTTTCATATTTACAAAGTTCCATTGCTCTTATAAGCTTACTACCTGTTTGTGAAGTTTGGTTTACAACGATGTAACTGCATAGCTAGCATGTTTCCAAGATAAAAGCTAGGCCGTAGGGTTTCTATATTGGGTGTTACAGTCTTTGCCGGTAGACTACAGTAATCGATTGAGTACCGCGAGTGTGTGAGACCACAAAAGTGCAATCTGTAACAGCGAGCAAACGAAGTGTCTTGCGACATAGTTGGGGAGCATCGTGTCTGCAATTACACAACTCGGAGCAGCTGCAAAAAACCGAGACGCTGGAAAGTGCATCGTAAATGGAGAGATTTGCTTGGTTATATGCAGAGTAAGGGCAATGGAAGCCTGCACGTCGCTTACAGGAGAGTGTGGTTCGGATCCGGCAAGGACTGCTAGGAAAATACCATGTCAATACGATCCGCGCCCAGCGTTGCTATGGGCTCACCCTATAGAACCTCTTTGAAATCAGAACTGTTATTGATGCCTAGAAGCGCGTCCTAGATGCATTGCGCTGGAACCGCCCGCATATTCGAGACTGGACAACTTGGCTAACATGGAAGTCAATCCACGTACTATACTGCCTCACTCTAAACGACATGACGCTCACCCTATGGCTAGCTGGAGAGAGACACATGTCCCAGGTGACAGGCGAACGGGCAGTCGACGGACTTCGCAAGTACCTTGTCCCCGAAGATCCCCATACCCTCAGCGCCATATCCAATCTCACTCGAGCTTACTTCCACCTCAGCGAAATCGAAAAAAGCCACAAGCTACTCATATGGGTTCTCCGCCTCCAAAAGCGTTTCTTCGGCCTGCTCCGCCCAGAAACCCCTCATGACCCGCAAACGAACTCGGCATGCTCCTCTGCAAAAGCAACCGCCACCTCCTCCAAGCAGCTCATAGGAAAAACATCCACAAAGCATGTCGTGAGATTACTGGGTGAAGAGGACGCATACACCCTCTAGTCCCCAAACGATCTCTCAAAAGTCCACGCCGCGCTGGGATAACCGGAAAAAGCCCGTAGCTACCTTAAAAGTCATCTTAACCTGTTGTGAAAAGAACACTAGGCGGGATCCCACGTTGGCACCGTGATGAACGCAGTCGAATCTCGGGAAAGCGTACTTTTGCGTGTGGGCGGTTGAAAGACGCTGGAACGCTGGTTCGCCAGCTACTAGCGATGATACTGTTGCAGCATCCTGACTGGATACACAACATGTACGGGTACGCGCGTGTCAAAGTTCAAGATTGGGAAGATGGGGGAGGCGGAGAAGTGCTGTTGCGAAGATGATCCTGATGCTGTATGGTGAGTATCAAGGCAAAACACTGCCAGTCAGGTAATGCAATCAACTCTTTTATTTCTTTGCCATATATTAACGCCCCATACCCCCAAATCTCCTATCTCTCACACCCAACCCAGCTCAACCACCCCGTCCACCCCTCTCATCCTGCATTCCAATCGCCGGATCCGGTGCTTCGGGAAACTCCTTCTTAGCCGTCTCCTTTCCTCCCGCCGAATCTTTCCGCTCGGTCGCATGACCACCTTTACCCTCCTTGTGCGCGCTGCTGTATTGCATTAGCCACTTCTTCGTTCCCCATCCCTCCCCGCATCTCAACCAGCTACCAATGGTTTAAAACTCACTCCATGCCTGCTTTCGCATTACTCTCGTGCACATTGTGTGTATCGCCTTGCCGGACTTTATCCTGGACTGCATGCGGTGTATCACTGTCGTAGAGGTCCGTTTTGGTTTTTGAATTTGTGCTGAGGTCGTTGGGGTACTGGGCTACGCGGTTGGGGGTTGAGAGGCAGAAAGGACGGGCAGAGGGAGTACAAAGGCGGAGACGCGTGGAGGATCTGGTGAAGGTGGTGCGGAACATTTTGAGAGCTGTTTGATTATGTGCTTTCTAATTGATCAAATGCAGGAAGATGTTGGTTGTTGGAATTATGTATGCAATTGATTTAATTCTTGAAAAGTGGAAATGAGGATAAGTCAAGGAAAGCATGGGGAGAAGAGAAAAGGAAAGACAGAGGTATGTAGGATCACTAGCGAATGAGCCATGACGCATTACTATGGTACGCGTTGGACAATGATGATGTATGACGCTTTCGAATCAGGTACCAATGCTCCTGCGGCTAATCGGCGCTAAGCCTTTTACAGCCGAGAGAACCACTTGTGCCCCTCCCCCACATTCGGACGTTTGAGCCTCACGGCGCAAAACATGGGCGGACGTTTTCCGCGCCTTCTTTCACATACCCATATCCAATTCTTCATACCCTCGATCAGCCAGACTCGGCGCGTTTTTAAGCAAGGCCTAGACGTTTCCTGACACAATTGCGTTCTTGCCCTTCCATTGCCAAAAAAAATCTATCACAGCTCCCCGCCGCCAACCATGTCATCCTCCAAAGACTGGAAACAAGAAGACTTTCCTTGTATCCTGTACATCTTCCCCTCCCCTCCACCTCCCATCCTCACTAACCCTTCTTCTCCAACAGAACCCTCCACATCCCCTTCCCAACCGCACACCTCGCCCAAACCGCTCAACTCTCCCTCTCCGTCGACGCCGAACTCTCGCCGCTCGTACGCCGCGCCTTCACACTCACCACACCCGCGGGCTCAACTGAGCAATCCGTACTGCAAGTCGACTACGCGGCGACTACGAACCGCATGTTGCGCGTTGCTGTGAACGGGTTTGTGGAAAGCGCGGGTGTGGTGGTTGCGGTGATGAGGGAGTTGGATACGGATGTTGTGTATGAGCCTACGAGGGAAGGGCTGGAGGGCGTGCAGGGACTGGATGTGAATAAGGTTGGGTGAAGTGGGGTGGCAAGGCACAGTGTTGTTTGATATAGAAGACGAGGGTCAAGAGGAAGGCAAGTCAAGATTTGAAGAAGCAAGATAAAACATGGATTGAGAGTGGGTATACGTACTCCGGGGTAGCGGTGGAGTGCTAGTAATATGGTTTAGCACCCCCTTCGCGCTCCTGGTAGGAAAGAGGAAGCCCAAACATCTAGAGTGTATCCCCCAACGCCTTGTTGAGGGCGAGATATGCGTTTTGTTTCAGAGATTCAGATACCCCCTAAACGCCATGCTAAGGCTTCAGAGACTGTCATATAATTAGCTTCGTATGGCGATTGTCAGTTGGAATCTCGACACCAACAAATCACTAGCATTAGCCCAACAACCCTCTAAGCTTCCACTTTCTTCAACGGTGGCTCTTCACCGTTGCCTTCCTCTCCTTCGTCTTCCAGCTTCCTCTTAGTGGCCGGCTTCGCACCCATATACCCCGTCATGTCTGCCGTTGGTATCGTCGGGCGCATATTGGGAGCTTGCGCTGGTGGACCCCCAGGTGGCATTGGCGGGTGCACGCCGCCATCTCTAATTTCGAAGCCATCAACCTTTTTCAGCTTCCACTCTACTTTAATCTTGTGTCTCACTAACTCGCCCGTTGTGCGCGCGTCCTCATAACTGTCGTGACCAGCGGCGCCTGCTTGCTGGATGTCCTCGCCGAGATACTCCTTAGCTAGTTTGCGCAAGCCGAAACGGAAAGGTAGGCCCTGGCGGGTTGGATACAGGAGTACTGTGTCGATGATGAAGGGATGTATGAGACGAATGGTGTTGAGATCGTTTTCAAGCGCGTGTCCTACAATAGGAGTGTCTGGAGAGACGTGTGAGAGGAAGAGATCTCGCGCTGCATAAGGCGAGTCGACGATGCGGAGGTCTTTGCGTACCGGCTGAGGGCTTGCAGGATCATATTCCTTGGCATTGACAAACTGGTCTCGTGTGATGCCAGAGAAGCGCGTGTTGAAGTCCAGTATTTGGCCCAGTGGACGGACGAGGACGTCGATGAGTGGCTTGTGTTGTGGCCATGATATGACGGTAAGACGAAGCATCTCCAAGCCATTGGTGGTGTAGCCCATTTCGCAATCAAAGCATACAGCCGAAGTCTTGGGAACCTTATCATTTGCTGGTGTCTGAACGAATGGCATGACTAGAGACAGTCGTTTTGTGTCTTTGACGTTGAAGACGTGGGTTTCGTGCGTACTACAGCCTGGCGATCCTACCTCCGCGCTACAACATGACAGTCTCTTCACTTCTGTGGCATCGTTGGACTTTTTGGGGTAGATGATTCTACCCCAATGATACTTGCATTCCCCACCAGTCGTGAGAGCGCCTTCTTCGTTGCGGTCCGGAAACACTTGAAAACGAGTTTTGCAGCGGTCGCATTCTTCCCACCCAGCGGCTGATTCGAGGGCCAAACGGGTTTCGTTCACTTCGGCGTCGCTCGGTAACTTCGTGACATAACCATACGCATCCAGTCCCTTCTGCTCGCACTTGAATGTGCGGAGGAAGGCAATTTCTTCTTCTGGGTTCAAGCCTGTATCGACCCTCTTAAGCGGCGCTTTTTTGGGCGGCTCACCTTTCTCCAAAGCTATGACTGCTCGCCTCTCCTTGACCCACTCCTCTGGTGTCATACCCTTGAGCTTTACTAGCCGCTGCTTCAATATGTTCTCGTAAACGGATGGATTCGCTATGGCGATCTTTTCTTCCTCATCAACTGCCAATTTGTTTAACTGATTTGGACCAAGGTGCAGCGCCTTTATTTCCGGTTTGGTGGCTTTCAGAATTCTGTCATTTTGCGGTTTCATATGCGTGTGCAGGGCCTTTAGGAGCGTAATTCGCCTAGCGTATGTCGATGGCTCTTTTTTGAGTTTACGCGGCATCAAAGCGACTGGCGTGTCGGGATTGACGGTTGGCTTAGCTGCTGTAGCCTTGGATGGAGGCGGTGATATTGTCCGAGTGGCAGATGGCGGCAGTTCAGTGGGCACAGTCGCCTTGGCAGGTAATCTCGACACCAGTGTTTGTGCAGGTTCGGGTTCTTTGCTTGTCGAGGGCACCTTGCCCTTGGATATGGTTGGATTGGCCGAAGCGCTAGAGCCTGGTTGCCTCAACGCAGGAGCGGCTCCAGGTGCATTTTCACTAAGCTGCGAGGGTTTTGCAACCTTCTGAGGGCCATATACGGTTGTTACCGGAGAGGGTGAGTGCGACCTGTCAGGTGAACTAGCAGCATCATGACCGAAAATGCAGTGAGGAAGTGCGCAGGAGGCACCTGAGGGACATGATATCTTGGCGAAGCTTCTGTACGCTGGGGCCGACGGCCACATTGTTATTGGGGTTGTGAATTGATAGCTTCACTGTAAGTATGCACATACGCAGACCCAGATGGTGCTCAACGTACCGAGCTGGGTTGGCTGAGCTTCAGTCAAGGGCGTGGGTGAGATGCGGTCAGAGGATGATTGGTTCTGAAGCAGGAGAAGCGGTACTGGTACTCTACCCAACCCATCCACGGAGGCAATACAAAGTAAGCAAAAGACGAAGCACGCTGAGGCGCAGTGCGCAGTTGGCAAGTGAGTGCAGGCAGCGCAGGGCCAGAGACAGCCTCTCGGCTTAACAGAGCAACGTTCACTGTGTCGACGGGTCCATTGGTATTTGCAGCAGGACGATCAAAGCATGCAGTTGCTGCGAGTGAATAGATAGATCCACTTAGGAATGACGCCGAAGCCAATCACACGGTGAAGGTGAGAGACGAGTAGAGTTGACTTCGTCCAGGCACGCGTTGTTGCAAGCGTATGCTGGTCCGAGCGCGATGCATGCAGGGTCCACACACGCGTAGGCGGACTTTGGAGCAGCGATCCGTCTCGGATTCCGTCATGACGCCGTGATCTGAACAAATCTCAAACTCGACTTCTCCCTCAGCCCTCCCCTGTCCAATCCCATCAGTACTGTCGACATTGGTGTTGCGACTCGGCCTGTTTGTCGCGCACCTATACCAACCTATATCCCTTAACTCCGTTTGTGGCTTGAGGCGGTGCGCTCATCGGGCACGACTGCGCCTTTCACGGACGATATCTGGACTTGTGGGTACCGTACATATACTAATACCAGACCTCTCGTTACCGTCTACCTGTCAACCACCTTCACCACACTCACCAGGTCTACCTTTACCACCACCACTACGTCCGCCGCCATGTCTGAGAAGCCCGACCATCTCTGCGTCCTCGTCCATGGGTACGTCACCACAACACAACCGCCGCCTAGATTCACATGCAAGAAAAAGTAATTGTGCTGACCACGACCAGCCTTTGGGGCAACCCCGACCATTTGAAATACGTTAGCACCACTCTGAGCGAGACGTTTCCCAGCGAGAAACTCCACGTCCTTGTTGCGGCACGTAACTCGGGCAGCTTCACCTACGACGGCATAGACACGGGTGGCGAGCGCGTTGCCCAAGAAATCGAAGGAAAGCTTGAGGAGCTAGCTGAGAGTGGACACAACATCACCAAGATCAGTATCATCGGATACTCATTAGGAGGTCTCATCTCCCGTTATGCTATCGGATTGCTCTATCGGAGGGGCATCTTTGATAAGATACGGCCGATAGTACGTTCCTCGGCCCCATTCTGGTACCACATGCTAATCCTAATAGAACTTCACCACCTTTGCGACTCCCCATCTCGGCGTTCGAACACCCCTCAAAGGCTACCACAGCCACCTATGGAATGTCTTGGGCGCGCGCACACTTTCCATGAGCGGAAGACAACTCTTTGGTGTGGACAAATTCAGAGACACTGGTCGACCACTTCTAGCCGTTCTCGCGGACTCAGAAAGCATCTTCATCCAGGGACTATCTCAATTCAAGCACCGAAGCTTATATGCTAATGTCGTCAACGATCGAACAGTGACATACTACACTGCCGGTATCTCTTCAACCGACCCTTTTGTAGATCTAGACAAGGTCAAAATCAACTATATCGACAACTACGACGACGTAATTGTCGATCGAGAACATCCAGTGTCACCAAGAGATCCTGAGGAACCATTAGCATTCGCGCAACGCCTAACAGAAGGTACAAAGACGGTGATTGGGCGCGCATCCATCGTAGCGCTCCTCTCAGTCTTGGTTCCTGTCGGTGTGACTGCTTTTCTGATCAATTCGGCCTTTCAATCAGTTCGTAGCCACCAACGCATACGACTTCATCAGCAAGGCCGATCGGGCATCGACTACACGCATTATCGCATACCATTCATGATCAATGCAGTACGGAGAGAGGCTGAAAACATGTACGGGAACGCCAATCACGCACAAAGCCAGGAATACCTGAGCAATGGCTCCGAAGAGGGCACGTCTTTAAGCCAGCAGAAGACTCTAGGAAACGCGCACAAAACTGGGTCTGACACCGAAGTCGATTCTATCCAAGCGCGAAAGGAGGAGGCAAATCTGAAGTTCCCGACCCTTGCACTTACACCAGAGCAATTCAAAATGATCGACGCGCTAGACAACGTCGGTTTCAAGAAGCATCCAGTTCACATTCACAACCACCGGCACTCGCACGCCGCCATCATTGTTCGCATGCAAAAAGAGTCCTTCAACGAAGGCAAAATCGTCATTCAGCACTGGCTCGACAACTTTGAGCTTTAATATCCTTCCAGCATCTTTCAATCCGCAGTAATCGAGTCTGCATTCCTTTTTTTCAGCGTGGCGCATGGCGAATCTTAGACGTGTACTCGTACTTTTACGGCCGTAGACCAGTAAAGTAGTCGAGCGATTGATACCCTTGAGCATCATGTGCAGAGTATACAAGTGGAGGAACAATATCTTTGCATATTTGCATATTTGCTTTAATACAATTCTAGAAACTAATACCATACCAAAATTTCTCAAAACGCTTTTATTTAATTTCACAGCCGCCCTCAATATTCTGCCCACTCCACACTCCACATCCTGACTCTTCACCAATGGAAATAGAGTCTCGATTGACAAAACCACCGGGTACACCGGCATAAAAACACCCCCTAGTACGTACCCCCAACCACTAACAGGATCTACCGATGCACCCACATCAATCTCATCTGCACATCTACGCACCCTCGATCTAGACCGGCAAGATCCAACCCCCAGTCCCCCATCTCAATCCTTCATGCCTGCGATCGCCGCTCCGCACATATCCGTTAGCAGGGGGAAAGCGGATGCATAAGTACTTACCAGCCAAGACCAGGCAAGCAACGTCTTAACTCTTACCGCCAAGGCCCAACTCCTCCCTCACGTGGCGTCAGCATTTTTACCGAAACGCACGTTTGGGGTAGAGAGTGCGTGCCGCGTGGGAGCCAGCGCAGCCGAGTGGCGCAATTTCTGCTTATGTACCGGTCAAGGGTTGAATGTTGAACAGGGGGTGTTTAAAGTGAGCGTGGGTTTGGTTTAGTGTTGGATTTTTTTTTTCTGGACGGGCGTTTGTGGTCACATGTTGAAAGGGATGATGCAGTACGAGCGGGGGAGGGGGGGTGCGATGCATAGTGGGCTCAGCGGGGTTTAGTGGGATGTGGAGTGGACGACGATGCAGACGAGTGGAGGACAGGGGGGGTTTATGGTAAATGTGGCTGTAACGGCGGGTTTTTGGGTGCCTGGAACGCCTTACTACGAGGTTTTCGCAGGATTCGAGGGAATAAAGGGAGAGGGGGTGCAGCTTTGCTGCGTTTTTGGCATGTGGGGGGTGAATGAATGGAATTGCTAGGTTTGGATAGTATGTACATTGGGTTGTTTGTCCGTTCAGATATTTACAAAGTGGCCTACTGCTGACATCCTTCTAGAGGCGTGGTGATCCTTGGAATGCTCTGACGATGAAAGCCACAGCGGGTTCCATCAGTTTCGGGAGGACATAGGTTAGATGGTAGTACTGGCAAGATCCCGAATCGCAGACCTGTGTCGAGTCATTAGTACACGTTCAGTCCCCACTTCTGCGCCACACATGAAGCTGAGAAATACTTACAGGATCGCCCTTTGCACAAACCTGCAACACCTTTGGCCGCAGACCAATCGGAAACTTGTCTCCCAAGGTGCCCAACCTCTGCTGAGGATCACCAAACATGACGACTGCCTTGATCCGTGGGAACAAAGACACGGGGAGCCTTTCTGCGGCCCGATGCATAATACTTGCTCCCTGTGAATAGCCAACTAGAGCAAAGGTTTGATTGGGGCATGCAGCAGACTGCGTAGTCAAACGCTTGACAATGTCGTCTGTGCCTTGTCTGCCACCAGTGATGACCTGAGAACTTGCTGGGTACTATTAGGGAGGCACAGTACGCGTCAGCCCTTGTCTATCTCTATGGGATCTTCTTTTTCTATTTCTGTGGATCGACGTACCTGAACTGGATAACCCTGGACGCCAGGCAGTTGTGCAGAAACATTGCTCACGACGGGGTCACCGACGATGACACCGAATTTTGGGAAACTGGGCTCGCTGGTGCCACGAGCTGGATTTGACACATCAGTCTCTTGGAAAAAAGGGAACTTTGAAAATACTGAGCTTTAGACTTACCAACAAGAATTTCGAACGCAGAACATCCCTTGGGAATGTCACCCGGAACAATCGGCACAGGTTGTCCAATTTCAACGTCGTTGGGAGGAATCGCAGGACAGGTTTCCTGAGCAGAGGACATGGCGATCAAGGCGAACGCCAGGAGAGGAGTGATTGGCATGTAACGCATTGTGCTGTGTAGTTTTTGCTTTGCTCTGTGCCTTTTTTTCGTTGCCAAACTAGGCTGCTGTGTGTTCTGCTAACATAAAGCGAACAAACACTCTCCCTTTTAACTTCACACATACACACTCCCTCTCCAAAAGCAACCCATACTTTCTCTCATCATGATACTACAGTCTCCACAGAGATTTCGAGGGACACTGCAACTAAAGCAGACCTCGGCATCTTTGCTGCAGAACAAGCAAGGATGTTCTGATGGTGGTGGTGTAGCGATCATCTGGATCAAGCCACCACCTTGGCTTCTACGGGAGTTTAATCTATTTTCCTCGATTGCTGCCGAGGTATGCGCATAGCATAGTATAGAACCAGAGGGGTATATGAGATGTGCCGACTGTTTCATGCCGGCTGCACATCGGGATCTCGATGTTTTGCTTTTTACATGGGATGTTCCATGTCACCGGTTTTGCTGGTTTTAAATGAGATCTGCATGACAGGCCGGTTGCAGATGCCTCAAGTACATCCGCGTATAATACTTGAACTATGCTGTGATGGTACTAGTAGGCAAAAACAGGTTACTACTGTGAAATTGTGGGGTACCTACGCCACATGCACACAAAATGCAAAGGACCAACGCAAAGTAGGTGGTCAGCCCTACATGTGGATAGAGGGGGGAAAGAGGGGGGGGGAAGCAACTAAACCCACGCTCTTCCCATGCGAGATACGCGCTATTCTCCGACTCAAGCCGACTCGCCTTCATCCCGATCGTTTCACAAATAAAAATAACCAATCTGCCAATCGGGTTTCTTATGTGACAAGGTGTTGCTACTGATGATGGTGTCCAGTTACTTTCCTTTCCCCTCTTGGTCCACACTCACCAGTTGAAGCACCTCCCCAGTCGATCTCCCGTATCCCTCCAGGCACCCGCAATACACAGATAGGCAAGAGTCACGTTGCTTACATTCTATTCTCCACCAAAGGGCAAAATGTATACGGTACCCCGCCTTTTGCCCTGCAGCATGCAGCCACTCTAATTGTCCCTAGAGCTAACGACCGGTAGTAGTAGTAGAGCCAAGTGACACCATCTACTCAGGGTTCCAGCATGACGCTTCATCACAAGACCCAGTCCATTACAAACTCGACTATGAACCGAGGCGAATTTTTTCAAAAATCGCTGCTATTGGTGTTTGCACGGTTTCAGGGCTCCGAGTCTTCCTTTTACCTAGGCATCTAAACACCCAAGAATCGTCTGATGTGTATGCAGACTACTCCCTCCCCCACTTTCCTTTCAAAACTTTAATACATGGCCCTTACTTCATTGAGAGTACGTACCACGTGTCTTGGTATAATATGCAATGGGGCTTGGCTTGCTTCAAGGTACAGCTAGGGGTTGTACCTTTGGGGGCCCTCATTGGACAGTGAACCTGGAGCAGAACCATTTGCTCCCCTTCGAATGCCTCGGCTCAAAAGGAAGTGTAGTCGGCGATTTGGACCTTTGTCAAGATGTAGCAAAGGGTGCGTCTGTGCTAAGGCACAATCTTGCAACCGCGGGGGGGGGGGGGGGGGGGCCAAAATCCATTGCTGCAACGTTCGGCAATTGACAATGGGAGGATTCAGGAAGTGGGCCGGGGAATGGATACCTCTCGTATCTGAAGTAAGTATAAAGACAACTGTGATTCCACGATTTTAATAGACAGCAAGCAAGCAAGCATAGCTTCCTATCATTCACTCACTATCTCTTCCAGACTTCCAACAATTCGCTTCTCCGCCATCTTCTTCTCTTCTTCATCAGAAAGTTACCCAGCTCTCTCACTCCCAAAAACAGTCAAGATGATGAACTTCCTCTCCATCCTCGCCCTGGCCATTGCCGCCTCAGCAACTCCAATTGCCATCCCCGAAGCTGGCGATGCAGTCGTTGCTCCCCGCCAAATCATCGGCCGTACTCGCTTGACTGAGAACGAATTCTCCTCCTTGATTGGGGGTGGATGCAAGGACGTTATCTTCGTGTGGGCGCGTGGATCCACCGAGGCCGGCAACATGGTAAGTGGATACTTTCCAAAAAAAAGAGGCCCCCGAAAAAAAGCAAAATAGTAGTATGCAAGTTTGTTCTAGATTTCTGACTTTTGGAAAACTTTATAGGGCGCCATCATTGGCCAGCCCCTCGGTGACGAGCTCCGCCGCGAATACGGTAGCAACCTCGCCATTGAAGGTGTCGACTACGCTGCTCTGCTGTCCACCAACTACCTCCCCGGCGGCACCGATCTCGTTGCTGAGCTCGAGATGCGCGGTATCCTCGAGGACATCAACCGCAAGTGCCCTACTGCCACCATTGTTTGTGGTGGATACTCGTACGTTCCCCCACCCATCCCTCACTCTCACTTCGTTTCTTGATACTAACCATGACCAAATAGTCAAGGTGCTGCTGTCAACCACCGTGCCATTGAAGACCTCTCTGCCGCTGTCAAGAACCAAATTGCCGGTGTCGTTACCTTTGGTGACACACAGGCCCGCCGTGACAACCAGCAGATCCCCAACTTCCCCAAGGACAAGCTCAAGATCTTCTGCGGTGGCCTTGTCCGCGACACTGTCTGTGACGGTAACCTTGCTGCGGCTGTCTTGCTTCCCCACCTTAGCTACGGAAGTGATGCTGGAGAGGCTGGACGATTCTTGATCGGAAAGATCAACGCTGTCCGCGGTGCAAAGGCTTAGAGTTTCTGACTCGAGATTGCTGCTGGAAGATGGAGAGGGGTTGGGGCAAATTGATTGGAAGAGTAATGCAGGTCATTCGGAAGAGGAAGGATGGGTGATGGGTGATAGTGGGCGGTATTGTATATATATTTTGCTCGACAGTGTGACTACTAGGTTACATCTGATTGTATATAAAGACGAGTGGAAATGCAAATGGAGGATTTTCTTAGATTTTGTTCCAATTGCACTAAAACATGATGTGATCTTCTTCCTAGCCAGGATATTGATAGCTATCAAAGAGTCCCAGAGCTCTATATGAAACTTAGCTTGATAGTTGTTACCAAAACTGCGAGGCCCGGAGATGGTAAAGGTAAATCTCAGCCGGCTGGTCAGTACACGACCATACTTATTAGCTGCTTCAGTTGTGCCTATGGAAACACAACATCTTACATGGTCCGATTTGGCCTACGCTTCCGTATGCGGACAGCTACTGGTCGCAGCGGTATCACAGTACCGAAAGCCTTGTCGGACATGGTCGGCATAACTGCATCTGTAAATTCCGGATCGCAAAGTTGAATCTCCCACTCGTTTAACAAGACAGTCAAAGTCGCTGCATGAATGGTTTGCGCGTATTCACTGCCCAGACCGACATTTTGATGGCCACCAAAAGCGGGGGCTAGTAAATCAAGATCCTCCAAGCTGAACTCGCCCGATTCGAAGCCGCCCCTTTTCTTCGGCTTATCGGGGATGAGAAATCTGCCTCCCCAGAACTCTTCAAGTGGTCTCTCAACGGTACGCGGTCGTGCTTTGGCCCATGATTTGTTGTCCAGTGCAACGTCGTGTGAAAACACGATTGGTGACCTTCCTTTGGGGAGTACATATTCCCTGTCCAAGAGGATATCATGAGCTTTGGCAGGATATATCATATACTGTGCCATTCGTAAACGGCTAGTCTCATGATACAGAGACTTGACAAGAGGTGAAGCTGCGATTTCCGTAACACCATAAGTTCCAAGCATTTGTGAAGGATTTTTGGAAACAATGTCGTTCATTTGATTGGCCAGTTGCGGATTGCGTAACACTTCGATCAAGGACCAGATTGTCGATGGAACAAGTTTCCCGTTTGCGCTACACACATATGTCAGCATATATATTCTTGTTACTCACAAGCACAGTCATCCCCCCATGCATACGCACCAATGAATGATCTTTAATAACTCCACTGCTCGCGATTCTTGAGATGTGAACTCTGACAAAAGACCGGTGAGTTCCTGAATGAATGGCGATCCTCGGTGATCATCCCAGTTTGTATTGATGGTGCTGACATTTGCAGTATTGCTGCCGCTTTGGTTTGCCCTGAGCCATTTCTCGATACCTTCAAGCAATGCATCGCGAGGCTGTTCATATGCATTCGCCCCCAATAGCCATGTCATTCCTGGCACATAGCTTTCTAGTGCCTGTTCAAATGTCCAATAATCTTTCACAAATTTTGGATATAGCCGGAAGATCGTCGTTCCAAACAATGTCTCTACCAAGCATCGTGTAAGGACTTGGTGAAAGAAGGACCAGAAGTCTTCTATCTGTGTCCACGTGCCGACCTGGAACATTTTGTCGTCCATATTGCTTGAGAGCTTTGAAGCATAACGCTCGCCTATATTAACCATTGATTCGCCAGTCAAGTGTTTTCGAATTGGTGTCGTGAATGCATTGTAGACTTTTTCATTGTACTTCGCAGGATCGGAAAACTCTGCTGGGATGCTTGCTTGACGTTTGGGCACCTTGAAAACACCCTCATATTCGTGTCTTACGATGGGACCCTGCTCTGATGGTTTTGATGCTTCTATGACCACTTTGATATGCTTAGGGTCCCGGAGGACTACGAAAGTCTGCAAACCTGCCTTGACAGTGAATGGGGCGAAGCTGCCAAACTCCTTGCTATTGCACATCAGTGACCGTTGCACAAATTCAAGGCAGCACCTTACAATAGTCTTGCAAAGAACTTTTGCGGTCCTTCCGCAGCTATGCTAAACGTATGGAACACGCCAGGGACCAAGTACGGGATTGTGGGCGGCCTTTTTCCTGCTGTATCATTCTTTGCGCTTTGGAAGAAGAAAGCAGTAGTGAGGTAATATGTCAGAGCCGGGAGGACTATTATCCCCACGGCGATGAGTAGAAGCATGGCTAGTGTTGTAGGAGATCGAATGAGGTGTAGTCGCGGTGTTAAACTTGGAGTTGACCCTAGCGCAAGCTAATTGTTGGCCTCGCGCTGGGATTGGCCGCCACCGCATAAACCAATCGCAGCTTCAATCATCAACTACAAGGGTTATTCGCGAGACGTTAGTGTTGACATGTCCTATGGACTGCAACGCTATAACCTTCAAGCATTCTTTAAGATGTCCAACGCGCTATCGAGCATTCATACCACCAACATCAGTTCATGCACTCATCTTACTAAGCTAAGGTCTGGATGCAAAGGAAAACACTAGAGGCATTCTATTTGATGCAAGTGGGGTATCATATCCAAACGCCAGTATCTATGTACTTCCCAAGAGGGCTCGAGAATCCTACCAACTTGCCAAAACCTTGTCCACCTTTGCTTGACTATGATTGCCGAGTCCCTCCATGTCGACATCCTCGTCATCTTCCGCAGTCGAAGGCACCTGTACGTTTCCAAACTTCTCCTCGACTCTTGCTGCAACACGTATGGCCAGTGTCCTTGTTTTTGCCAACTCAGGGACCAGCGGCGCATCCTTCCATGCCAAATTTGGCTGTATGTTCTCCTTCGGCTGACGATAGGGTTCTAGCAACGATAGCAATGTACGATATGTGTTGAGCTTGTTTTGTAGTGTCTGGCGTTGAGCAGATAGCTCCTGCAAGCGTGAGACAGAGGAAAGGTATTCGTCTTGCGTTACTTCGTCGTTGCTGTCACGGGCATGCCATGTCGCAGGCAGTTTCGCAATATTCTCGTCAAGTGTGAGGTCAGCGTTTTGGTACAGTGTGTTTGCATCATCTTCATGAAGATCAGAAGCGGTTTGGTCGTCCTCTTGGTCGTCGTCAACAGGCTGCGCGCCTGAGTCCCAGTACAATGTGTCTATCTGCTCAACGACATGCTCGATCATTTGCCGACTGTAAACTGTCCGCGAGTGTCTCTTTAAGTCACGGTTGACTAGATACTGGCTTAGTTTTGATCATTGGACCCGGGTATGGGATTAAAATGTTACCTTTATCAAGTACTCCTTTCATGACACTCAGCTCGATCCCGCCATCTTGCGCAAGTGTTCGCAGTCGTTCCGATGGCGGTATTCCACGCGACAAGATATGTTTCCTAGTCTGGAGGAAATGTTGCTTCTGCTCAACAATTGTGGCTTGTTTTGAGCCAGGAACCGGGACACTTTGACTCATTATAAATGCGAAGGACGGTATACTATCGAGGGATTTGGATGGGTGCATCGATTGCGGGGAGACGCTGTGAGCGCGACGCGTGGAATTTGGGCTTTGCCTAATCGGGACTAGTATCGAATATGCATTTTACAATGAGTGAGAAATTCTGAAATATAACTGTGGTTGCAACCAGATGTATGAAATTAATTTCCACACGCTCAAATTGGAATTCTAACGCACAAATTCTGCAGATTATACTATCTGTCGCTACGCTGCGCAGTCAGGTTACAACAATAGGTACATTACTAGCAAATCGCTTGACCCAAGCAGCCTTAGGCATCACGCAACTTAGCGTCGGGCTTCTTCTCCAATACCTAGCATATACGTATAATTTTCCTCTTGAACCCTTCGTAATCACTTGGTTTGCTTAAAAATAACTGCAAGAGTATCTGACAATGAGTTCGAACAGATGGCCTGTGCATAGTTTAGTTGCAGCTACTATGGTTGTTGGTGCGTGCGGGGGGAGAACGTCACGACTTTCTGTGTTCCGCGTTGTGTCAACCACAGCAACGTGACAGGACCGACACCTGGTACACGTTTTTATAACAGGTCGACCGCATAGCTCTAGTCAAAACTTGCAATAACTACAAAAGGATATATATAATGCTACGCCAACAAATGAACGAGGTAGACCTTTTGATACTGGGGGCTGGCTGGACTTCGACGTTCTTGATTCCGCAACTGAGCGACACCGACATTACGTACGCGGCTACCACCACCTCAGGGAGAGATGCTACGATACCTTTCAAATTCGACCCCGAATCTGGAGATGCAGAGCCGTACAAGCGACTTCCAGCTGCCAAAACGGTCCTCATCACATTTCCGTTAGTCGGTCACGGCCAATCAAAGAGCATTGTCGGACTGTACCGCTCCGTTCACGGCGCGAGGAACAACTGGATTCAACTCGGCTCAACCGGAATCTACAACAAGGTACCTGACGATTGGAGTGACGAAGATGCGCATTACAACAAGGAAGACAAGCGAGCTATTGCAGAGGACGAACTGCGCTCGCTCCATGGCTGTGTGTTGTGTCTTGCAGGTCTTTATGGAGGCGAGCGTGTTCCTGCGAGGTGGTTGCCACGTATCGTCAAATCCAAAGACGATATCAAAAAACGGGGCGCCGTTCATTTCATCCATGGCGAGGACGTCGCGCAAGCCATCATTGCGACGCACCAGAACTTCACGCCTGGCAAACGTTGGATTGTTTCCGACCTGCGCGTCTATGATTGGTACGACCTCATCATGAGCTTCAGCTCTATGACTGAATCTTCCATGTCTCAGGAAGAGAAAATGACGCAGCAGCAGTATGCGAAGTGGGTTGGCGAGCTAATGATGGAGGAGGATATTCGTGCTCTACCAAGGGACGTGAGCTCGTTGGGACGAAAGCTGGATTCAAGACGCTTTTGGGCCTTTCACGGGCTGCTGCCACGCCATAGACGTCTAGCTTAGAGTCATATCTGATGACTTATTGGATGGTAACGATAAATGCCTCATTGGCTTAACGTGTAGGCGAGACACATGTTGAGAAAGCAGATGAAAGCTGACAGCCTGTCTATCACCTATCAAAAGTACCGTAAATAAGATTAATTGGTTGCGTAGACATGCCCGTCCCAGTAAATACTAGATCCCTATTCTATGTAAAAGGCCAGATCCTCTATCCATATATAGAGACGGACTCTCATCCCATATATAAAACTCGAATCTCTTCCCACTCTACGTTTCTATTCATCTCTCATAACATCACTTCTTGAAACCCATACTCTCACATTATTTATTCTCTTCACCAGCACAATGCAGAACCTCCAAGGAACACCTATGGCCATCGGCCGCATCTACTCCCACGACGCGCGCCAGTGGATTGATATCAGTGGGCTACAGCCTCCACAGCGGTCACCAATCCCCTTCCAACCGCAAATGGGCATGCAACAGCTCTTTTCTGCACCTATGATGCAGTATCAACAACTGCCCTTCCAGCAGTACGTTCCACAGTTGCAGCAGCAGCTACAGCAACAACAGCCACAACAACAACAACTACTACTACTGCTACTACAGCAGCAGCAGCTACAGCAACAGCAACAACTACAACCCCCACCACCACAACAACAGATCCTCTTGGGGACAAAGAGAGACCACCTCTCCCCCCAAAACTTCCACGAGGAGCAACCCCCTTCCCCAAAGAGACCTTGTATCTCCTCACCCTCCCTCATTCCTCCCACCGCCCCCGCTACTACCATCGCCAGCACCACCGTCACCCCCGCAAAACGCCGCCCAGGCCGCCCCACAAACGCCTCCAAAGGCCTCCCTACCAAGCGAGCACCTAGGAAGCCTAAGAGCAAATCCACCACCACCGCTACCGCTGCCACCACCATGACTGGGCAAACCCAACCCCAACCCCTTCCCATCCCAGACCCAGCACCACAGCCAGTACCGTACTATCCAAATTCCCAACCTACCGTAGCGAGTTTTATTCCAGCGCCAGCACTGCAGAGAGAGATTGAAGCGGGTGCTCGTGCGCAGATGGCTGCGTTGGAGGCGGATGAGATGTTCAGAGTGTTTGGTGAGTTTGGAGAGTTTGGAGAGGGTTTGGCGGGGGAAGGATATGAGATGCTGGGGGTGGAAGTGGAGTCTGTGGAGGCGCCGGTGATGGTTGAGGAGGAGAAGGAGGAGGAGGGGTGGGATGAGTTTTTGGTGCTGGATGAGGTGGCGGAGCTGCCATCTGGGGAGGATGAAGGCGAGGATGAAGAGGATGCGTTGGGGAGTGCGATATGTGCTGCTTTGGCGGCTAGCGGGGGTGAGGAAGAGACGCAGGTCGCTGAGGTGCCATCTGGGGAGGATGAGGAGGAGAATAAGGACGAGGACGATGATGAAGAGAATGATGAAGAGGATGACGAAGATGCGTTGGGGAGTGCGATATATGCTGCTTTGGCGGCTAGTAGCGGTGAGGAAAATGGAGAGGCGCAGGGCGCTGAGGTGATATCAGAGGTGTCTGAGGATGAGGAGGAATCATTGTTTGGGGATGATTAGAAAGAGGGGGAGTGGAGCAGTGACTGAACTGGCACTGGCGCTAACGACAACGATGATAAGAATTCTCGGTTTGGAAACGTAACGAACTCGTTTGAGTAATACATAGTATGTAGTATATCTCCTTGACGATGTCTGTGCCACTTGATCTTCACAAGATATGAAAGCAAAGGTTATTGGAAAGAAAAAATGATTTAAAATATTTAAATTGAATATTGTAGTGTAGTCTGGGTATATCGCATAGGCGAAGTTAAAGTCTATATGAATGTATAAACGACCCACTCAATAGGGGCTCTCTTTAGAGAATGCAAAAGAAGACTTTGATACGACATGGAAACGACCGCTACGCTATGCAAGTGAAAAAAAAAGAAAAAGAAACACCACCTTAGACCTCAATATTCTCAAAAGGGTCTCGATCAGGGGGTAAGCCTTTGTAGATGACATTGCCACTGGCATCCAATCGCGCATTCACACTAGTGATCCATATTCTCTTTGTGAAAGCACTTGTACGCTCGATCTCGTCCTTAGCAATACCAAGCTCGTCATGTGGGATCCAGACTGCAGGTTGGATAGCACGCGTAGCGGGATGTTGGAAAGATCGCTTAATCAGCTTCTGACGAGCTTCGGGTTCAATGTCTGCAAGTTCATCATCAACCTCGTCAAACAGGTTACCAGCAGGAAGAACTTGTGCTTCGGCATCGCGCATGGGTTTGGCGACGTCGTCGAGACCCTTCTTAAGTGTATTGGTAATCACATCGAATGGGTCGTGTTTTTCCTTCTGCTTACGCTGCAAACGGGCGTGTCGCGACTGTGAGCGCGAGTTGGAACTGCGGCGGGAACGACCGGTCCGGCTTGGATCACGGCCACCACTTGGGTTTGGCGATCGACCGATTGCACCCGACATGTCGTTGTCCAGATTGTCCAACTCATAGGCCTCCTGGCCATGGGACTCGCGACGTTTTCCCTCTCCAAGACGGGTTTCTTCGTGTTCTCCGGAAGTCGACTGAGTGTCTTCTTGAGCGGTGAGAGCCGTGTGCTCTTCCGCTTGCTTCCATCGACTGGCTTGGGCTCGCTGCCACTCTTCATCTCTCTGTACCGCCTCGTCTTCGAACGTAATAGGAAGATATGTGAACAGTGGTCCAAACGCTCTGTTAAGCACCATCTGGAAAAGGGCAGTGAGGATGAGCATGATAATCATGACAATGGCGTGAGGGAAACAGGACTGTCTGCCAGCTTCGTCTTCTTGCAGGAAGAATAAACCAACGAGACAAAGTTCCAAGAAGTAAAGCCCAGTAAATAGCTGGTTGACGGCCTTGGGGAAGATGAGACCGTTGGTTTCGGCTTTAGCGTAACTAACATAGATCATCTGGTAGCGGTACGTGAACCAGAAGAGGCAGAAGGTGATCAACATCATAATAAGGATCAGGGGTGCCACGACAGAGTAGATAAGACCTATTGACTGTTAGAAAAGCATGCAGTAGGCACAGATGTACACTTACCAATTGCACCAAAATTGGTGTAGACGGGTATCATAGTACCCCAGTTAATTCCAGGTCTTTGCAACACTCTTGAAACCTTCTGTCGAGGCGTCGTGTCCATGAAGCGGAGGAAGATGATGACAACGACGGCGCCAATCTGCAGCAGAGTACCAGAACTAATACTGAGTGCTTGTAGAATCATGTAAGAGAAGAAGTAATTGGCGGCTTTGGGTAGACTCTTGGCTAGTGTTTGCGGAACACTGAGAGGGTCATTAACGAGGTCGTCAATGGCCGTCGTGATACCCGTGGAAATGGATACCACGAGGAACAATTGGACGAAGACGAAGGCGAAGTAGAAGTTTTGAACAAGCAACTCGCGCTCACCAGATGTCGTTGTACCAGTGACACCCGCTAGGAATCGTAGAACAAGAGGCAGTACAGCGAAGAGAATGGCCAAAAACGCAGGTGGCAACACACCCTGTACGAAGCTGACTACCCAGTCGGGAAGACGATTAATGAAGCCGAGCCATGGGAGTAACGAGGTGAGGGTATCGATCTGAGACAAAGCTCCGGTAAATGTGACAGGTACACCCCAGAAGATGACAAGTCCGACGATGAGAATGACGACGCCAAAAAAGCGTAGATAGCGCTCCCACCACTTCATTGTGAGATTTTCCCAAAGTACGTAGTTAGGATTGACTTCAACAGTCCGCGGGTTCATCTGCCTGGGAATGTGGTGACTCAGAGACTGGCATGCCATATGGGCCGCAACCTGGTGGTTGAACTGAATGAAAGCAGAGTTCATCAAGGGGAACCGTTCCGGATGGGCCTGATCATCTGCGATTTCGACGTTGAGGCGAGCAAGTTCCTTGCGGCAGTGGTAAATCGTGTCTACCTTTTTCCCAATCAGTGGTAAAGAAGGCCACCATGAAAAATTGAACAGTGGTAGGCGCATCGTCTCTCGGTCCTTTGGTTTGACATACTTTCGCCACAGAGCGTCTTCGTCGTCCTCTTTGAAATCCTCATCCCACAATCCGGTCGTATCGTATTTGATCTTGCTGGCATCTTTGACTTCCATTGGTGGCGCTTCATTGTTCTTGAATGGCTTAGGACTTATGAAGTCGCCTTGGCCAACGTATATAGATTTGAGTTTCTTGATAGGCTGGCTCCATCCGACCTTGGCAGGGGGTTTCTCGTCTTCCTCGGCCTCGACCGCAGGTGCTTTGAGATCCTGGGCCGGAGAGTCCACATCAGAGGCATGGTCGTCAGAGAAGTAGTTTTCTTTGTTTGCTAGGGGAGTTTGAGTGTCGCTGCTTGCGCCTCTCAGATTATACTCGGCCGAAGTTGGTGAAGTTTGGGCAATGTCGTTGGGCCCATCAACAGCAGCTTGCTCTTGCTCAGAATTTGGGGCTTTGCTGCGATGACGTTTCGAACCAAAGACGCCTCGCATATTGCCGTACATCTTTTTGTTAAATCGGTCTACCCCACGAAATCCTTCACCAACTGCATGTATGCCTTCGCCAAACAAAGGAATAGGAATTATACCGCGCTTGCGACTTGGAGAAGAGGACCTGGATGAAGACGACGAAGATGATGAGGAACCGGGCTCGGCAAGAACACTCTGAAGCTGTTGCTCGATTTCGTGCGGGTTACCAGCATCGACACCGTGGTCATGCGTCTCCTGGTTGATAGCAAGGTTCCGCATGGCTTCTTCCTCCTTTTTCTCCTTTTTAGACTTTTTCTCGCCTGCTTGTTTTGCTGCCTTTTCTTGCATCTTCTTATGTTTCTTGGTGCATTCGATGATGAGGTTCGTCTCGGCGGCTTCGAGGGCTCGCGCGACTTTGATCCGCTCGTCCACCTTTTCCATCAAGGCGTCATAATCGCGATTGATCCAGATATCTTTGATACCGCCTGGGAATACGTCGTAAAGTGCATCGAGAGCAGCAACAGTGAGCCACTTTTTAGGAATGCTTTGGACCAGAATCGTGGTAGCAGAAGCCCGAATACGATGATCTGGTCGGGTGAGAACAGTCTGTCTCAGGCGAACAAACTGTCTGAGCGCCAGGTAGAAGTTGAAACAGACCCAGCAGATAACGCAGACGGCGAGAACCAAATGCACCACCAATCGGCCGTGTTTTCCTGGTACGCCAACATTTGGCCAGGCAAACGAATCCAAGCCAGCTACGTCGGGTACATCGCCAAGTCGGTTTAGAGGCAAGAGAATTGGGAGGATAACAAGAGCCATTGGGATAAATATGCGCAGCAAAAGTTGGAGGTATTGGAGAAAGAGATAGCCATCAACACCAGCGATGCGAATGAGCTCGGAATCGCTAATCGTAAAGACATTCTTGAAAGACTCGATTGCGGTTACTGGGGCGGCGATGCGTTTTGCGACAGGGACGAAGGCAGTCTTGTAGTAGCTAGTCGCTGTCAGTAAATGTGTGGCAAAGCAAGAGTGTATTACTGCATACTAGATCTTGTGGAAGAGGCTCTGTCGCGATACTCCGTCCTTGTTCATGTCCTCCGCAAGTTTCTTGGATCTTCTCTTATGCAGTTTCCAGTTGCCGCTCAGAATCAGGAAAAAGGCAATCTGCACGCCGAAAATGACAGCGGCGGTCGAGAGGGAGGCGGCGAAATTCTCAATGCTCTGGTTTTCTTTTCGCTGGGCGGAACCAGGGCCGGCCGTGTTTGTCGGCTCTGGGCCAGCAGTGCTGGACATGGTGTTGTGCGCCGTGGGGTGGCCAAGGCCGCCGAATGTGAGTGGTTGTGAATTGGTGGCCCCTGTCGGTGGTTTAGGTGCTGGTGGCCATGGGCCGAGTTTAAAAGGAGAGCAGCCGTTGTTGGGTGCGGTTGCAGGCCGTTGGGGATATGTTGCTGTGGCGGGGCTGCAGACAAGCAAAAAGGATAGTGAATCAGAGAAGCACCAAGGGCGGTATTGAAAGGGTGTTAAGGATTCATGGGTGACTGGGGTAGCCGACGTGTTTCAAGCCTTGCATTCCTTGATGCGCGGTTGGACGGGGGCTTGGCGACGTCACTGGCGTCCATGAACTCTGGCTAGCCGCCGCCGTTTGGGCCAAAGAGGCGCTGGGCCCAATCTACATGCATACCGAACAAACCAAGGGTACAATGTAGGGCTTGTACACGTGTATCTGTGCAGGTGCGGCGGTTGTCGTTCTGCTCTTCTTTGAAGCCCTTGTCTTTCTCCATGACTGCTGCTTTGCATTCATTGTTGTGACGCAGCCTACAAAGCAGTACCGAACATGTGCACCTTTGTTGAATGCACACGAGCAGTTGTACATGCAGCGCGTATCAGTTGTGGCACCAACGTGGATCTGATCTGAGCCCTTGACCCCGTACTGTACTATGACGTTAAGCTGCATCCGTCTTACCAAGTAGTCGTCCCGTCTTGTCCAGTCCGTCTAGCACTAGTGAGCGCACCAGCCTCAATTGCCCCCCACGAGCCGCCACACACCGCCACCTTGTCGACGCCAGCGCCACACGCCAATCACTATAGTCGTACGACGTCGCAACTTGTGCTTGACAGTGCGCCGTCGACTTCAGAGTGCAATTCCTGCATTATGAAACCACCCACGGCTCCGACAGAACCAAAGATCAACGTAAGGCATGTGCCGTGGTACGCCTTCCCACTACACCTCTCAAGTCGGGCGCCCCCGCAGCTTTCGGCCCTATCGCTTCTTGCTTGCAACCTTCCAGGGTCTACCGTGAAGCGCTAGCCAACAACGTGCATTTCAACCGCTCGCACTCAGACCTCTCTCTACCATGGCTGTGCGCCTGTTGCAATTTCCCCCAATCATGTAGCAACCGAAAAACAACTGGGTAAACATTTCGGCTCCCGTCTCGCCATGCCGGCTCGTGAAGTTTCTCGGGTTGATACAAAGGTCTAGCTAGGGTCTTCACGATAGCAATCGCGCCGCATGTTACAGCTTGGAGTTTACAAGACGCCGACAATGCCTTGGCTTCATGTCGTCGGCAGCCACGTGCAACTCGCACACGTGCTGTCGCGAGGTCGCGTGTAGTCAGCACTGCGCTCATTGGCTTATAATTGCTTCAGGGGACCGCGTGTGCGTCATCACTGCGCGCTATGTTTCCTTCATCCTCTCAACATTAGCAATTGCAAGCAACCACTCACTCTTATCTTTGAATCGCTGCAATAAATTATATGCTGGCGCGCAATGCGGACCTCGCGCATCTCCCGTGATAATGCCCGAATCTTGGCCGCGAGTCGCGCTCAGCGCGCCCAACGGCAAACACGGTCCGCCATCAACGCATCAGCGTCCACTGTTGACGCCAGTCACGTCAAGCAGGAAGCCGAAACTGATGTCACTTCTCAATCTGGCCTCAAGACAAGTTCAGCCCCGATAGACTCGTATTCAGATGGTGAGGCGCAACCAGCGCTCAAAAGAAGGAAAAAGGGGCAAGATGCATCCGTTACCGTGAAGCAGGAAGTCGAGGAGGCATCAATAAGCACAATTCCGTCACCAGTCAAAAATGCCAAAGTCAAGAAAGCACGCCGTGCACCGGCAAAGAAGATAACGGCCAGTGATGGCACCGTCAAGATCGAGCCGCCTGCGAACTGGGAGGAGATATACGCCCTGACAAGGGAGATGCGGAACGAGAACGCAGCGCCTGTAGACACAATGGGCTGTGAGAGTTTGGCAGACAGGAGCAGAACACCGCGAGATCAGCGATTCCAGACGCTTATAGCATTAATGCTGAGCAGCCAAACCAAGGATACCGTCACGGCTCCTGTAATATGGGGAATGCAGGAAAGAATGTCAGGAGTTCGTCGCATATGATCCATCCGATCCAGCTCCAGCTAACAGTTACCAGGGCTTCAATCTCGAATCCGTTCTCGCGCTCGAGCCCACGGAACTTAATGGCTTCATTAATAAAGTAGGCTTTCACAACCTCAAGACCAAGTACATCAAGCAGACTGCAGAAATACTGAGAGACAAGTGGAACTCGGATATACCTGACACGATTGAAGGACTAGTCTCACTGCCAGGAGTAGGCCCAAAGATGGCACATCTCACAATGAGCGCAGCTTGGGGTCGAACTGAGGGTATAGGCGTTGATGTGCATGTTCATCGCATCACCAACCTATGGGGCTGGCACAAGACACAACAGCCGGAGCAGACGCGCGCAGCGTTGGAATCATGGCTACCCAAAGAGAAATGGCACGACATTAACAATCTGCTTGTAGGCTTTGGTCAGACAATATGTCTCCCAGTAGGCAGGAAATGTGGCGACTGCAAACTGGCAGACAGAGGGTTGTGCCCATCAGCTGTAGTGGCAAAGCGTACAAAGGTCAAGAGGGAGGAAGCTGTCGTGAAAGTCGAGGCGTCTGAAGGCGACGCAATAGTAAAGAAGGAGGAGATTGTTGAGCATGTGGATGAGATCAAAGCCGAAGATGTGGAAAATGCGATACCAGATATCGAGGATATTGGGAGAGAGCCACGCAAAAGAACGCGAAGGAAGCAGTAGACACCCGTATCAAGAACCTACTTTTCGCCTCAACGAGGATATCTGACGTGCGACTAGCTGTTTGTTCCCCTAATAGAAGACCAAGTACAGCGCGTCACGTTTTCCGCGCCATTGTCGCGCTACGAATAAGCAAAGAGCCACGGTGGATGCTATGCGCGCTTTATTTGCCTGACCCACAGGTTCCAGGGTTGGCCTGCACCTACCGCACCATCACCAACCCCAGGTAATCCAAAGTGCATCGTCGCATCGATGATGAGACAGTCCAGGCTTGTAACGCCCATGCACCCGCAATACCACTTTCACTGTTTCCTCTTACTTAACTGCAAACGGCTCGTCGCGCGTTTGTTAAGCGCAAACTACTGGTAGTTGACGCGCTAACACAGCTCCGACCGTTCTTCACGTGAACATGTACTGATTCGACAAAATACATCTAACTTCCACAGCTTGCCCATCACTTTGAGAGACTGCGGAAGTTGGCCGCCTCTAGTAGTCGTTACAAGGAAGGTGGCGATATTGGGAGATCGGAGCCAGTACCTACAAGTGCTGCGCAAGGTCTACTGCGAACGCCAACATGTCAACCAGAGAGCAGAACAGTACCTTTCGCCACAGTCCATCGCGCCCCGGGGAAGATGTCACAACCAAGTCACGCAAGGTGGTCACATCGCCCAGGACCAAGCTTCATCGCGCACGTCCACGTGTCATGCTTCTCACGGCCTGCCTCGTCTATCTCACTACCACTCTCTTCGCCTTCCAGATCAGTGTCGCCAGCGTCCTCAACTTGATTTCACCAGAGTATGAGCGATTCAATGACCAGCTTCAAGCGCATTCGAGTGCCTTGCGCAAGGAGCAGATCGTCTACAGCCGTCTAGACAATGTTCTGTCTAGTGAGCTGAACCGCGGTTTCATGGAGACTCACGAAGATTGCCTTGTTCGTGGGCTCGAGAGAGCGAATCACGAACTCATCGGCCTCGGGTTCCGGTATCCTGATGTCCGTAAGCAGGTCATGGAGTGGACGATGGAGAATTGTGGTAGATTGCAGCATGCACCACAGGTTGTGAATGAAGAGCCGACTCCACAAGAAGCCGTCTTGACGTATTGGGCAAGTTTGGGCTATCGTGCTCGCCGAATTGCTAAGAAAACTCTCGAACTTGTCAAGCAGAAGCTTGGGTGGATTTTCTGCCGACGTCAGGATTCTGATCAGCATGAAGATACTTCTCGTACTGAACATGTAGCCGCCAACGAGTACATGCGCACCGATGATTCCATCTCTTCAGAGCGCGTTCTACCCAAGGTTCCGTTTGGATTTGCTCTACAGTGTCAACCAGACCTGCCTTGCCGTCTCTTCTACCCAGCTGGTTCGACCGCGGATTCTCAGGAGTTGCACGTTTCGCCAGAGACTCTCGAGAAACTTGAGCAATGGACAGCGGAACTATTTACTTTCAATACCACCCTCGATCAAATGAGATCGATCATCTCTCAAACACTACGCGTAGTGGTCTATCTTGAGATATTCTTTCTGGGTCTCTCTGTCATTACGTTCATCTACAGTCTAACCATCAAGAGCGATTCGTCGCATTCTCACACCGGAACGGAAGCGACGTATCTGATCAAATCCATGATGATAGAACATCTTTCTGTCGCAGCAGCCTTCACGCTCGACAAGTACCCCGAAATCTTTCCCAACATACGATCCGCTCTAATCTTCGCCTTCATTATAACAACCCTCGGCTTAAACATGGTCCTGAAGTTCCTCATATCCAGATCACAACTAGAGACGATCTCCAACATCTTCCAGTCGTTGCAAGGCCTCTACTTGATCCTCAGAAACCGTGACGTCCCAGGCGATGAATACACTTCCGAGATCGGTGACGAGGTCAACACGGGTACCGAAGACAAAACCCCGAATCCCGAGCCCACTTCACAAAAGAAGAAAGAAAGCATCGCTTCGCCAATCCCCCGCTCGCCATTAAAACCCCACCACCGCTTCGCCGACCCAACAACGACTGTGCAGGAAGATATCAGACGCTCCCGCGAATTGCTCCGCCAAGAACGTACAAAACAGCAAACAGCCAGTGATGATACTGAAGGAGATACAGGTTTCGATACCGACTCGGAGTCCGAAAATGATGCATTTGTCCACATCGCTATTGACGCGGCGCATCAAGTTAGTATCTCTGATGAACCGACGTGGTAACAATTTTCACGGGTTGAGTCGTACGGCTCAGTATTAGATAATGACTGGGGTTTATTGGTGTTTTTGGGTTGGGTTTGGGGTGAGGAAGGAGGTGTTACTTTGAGGAAATTAAACAAGCATGCACGGTATTTCGTTCTCATGATTTCTTCTATCTTTCTGGGGGCGGAGGTGCCTGAGATGAGTATCTTGCTGAGTTTCACGAGAAAAGAAAAGTTATAGATGCAAAAATATGATTAGAGATCCATCTCTGTAGATGTCAAAATGAGATGTATCATGAACGGCATCTTCCCAGCAAAAAAGACGGAAAATACCTTCAGTTCTGTACTGAAAAGCAAACTCTCAAAAATTCCCTCAACTAACTGCAAACCAAGATGAGATAGAAGAACCACCAGCAACCAAAACCAAAACTCATCTCCTTCCCTCCCTCCCAGATCTCCATTTCCCCTCCCCACACATTCCCACATCACTTTCTCCCCCCAGTCCCCTTTAGCAAATGCGCAAACTCCGGCGCAACAAAGCCCCTCCCATCAACCCCATCCCCCAGCCTCCTCCCCTCCCTCCTCTTCCTCCTCTCCACCACCTCACCCGCACCCTCACTCTCCACCTTCCTCATCTCCTCCTCCGCCCTCCGCCTCTCCTCCAGCACCACCGCCCCAAAAGCACCCCTCTCATTTAATCCCCCCTCTCCCAACAAAACACCCACTTGACCCCTTACATACTCCGCATCCTCCCCACCACCATCACCTCCTCCTTCCCGACCGAATACATCGCCAGCTTGTGGAAACACGCCAATGGGCATACCCAACCTCGGTCTCACATACCTATACGGCTCGACGTCCAGCCGTGCTGCTTTGCGTTTTTGCACGAAAGCGGTGTGGGCGTCGAAGCGGGATTCCCAGGGTATGAGGCAGAGGTCGTGGAAGGCGTGGCGGAAGGAGCGCCATGCTATTGCGTAGGGTGAGTTGCGGGGGCAGAGGGGGGTGGTGTGGGGGGTGGAGGGGAGAAGGGGAGCGGGGGAAGAGATGAGGGAGAGGAGGCGGGCTTTTTCGGATTCGGCGGGGGTTATGTCTGGGTTCTTCAGGTCGTTTGGGGGTGGGGTGGGGTTGGTGGAGAGGGGTTGGTATTGTGCTAAAGCCCAGTATGTGTGCGCCTTTGTGTGGCTTTCCAATAGTCCGATGTGGTATTTTGCGGTGAGCGTGTTGGAGACGTTGTGCTGGGCGAGTGTGATTTTGTAGTCGAAACCCGTGGGGTCTTGGTAGTAGTGGTATTCGGCTTTCCAGTGGGACTTAGCTTGTGTTCTTGAATCGCCGGGTGTGGAAGAAAGGGTGGCAGATGTGGAGTTTGAGCTCAACGTTGGGGGATTTGAAGGGCCCCTCACTTCAGCGTCTTGTAACGCCGTTGCTCTCTCCGCTCTTCTACGTAGGAGATCCTCTTTTGCGGATACAAAAGGTGTAGGAGGTATGGGTGCAGAAGCAGGCGTCGAAGAAGAAGAAGAAGAAGAAGAAGAAAAGAAAAAGCTTCTACTCTTCCTCGACTTGCACCTAGTAGCAGTAGAAGTCTCAGACGTACCTGAACCCGTCAACTTCCTAATCTCCTCGCATCCTTCGCGAAACTTCTTACTATCAGCCTCGGCCCCAAGTCTCTTCAGCTTCTTGGCCACGCGCCGCTTGTCGCTCAGAACCTCCCGCGCATAACTCTTGACGGGGAGTTTCTTGCGAGCGTTCAGGGAGTCGTCGAGCCAGTCGTAGCTGAGAATGTGAATACCGAGGGAGAGCGCTTGGCTAACTGCTTCGGTGCGTTGTTTGGATTTATAGGCTTCTTCACTAGCGAGGAGGTGGGTGACGCCCTGGTGAACGGTGGGCGAGTAACGGCCGCCATTGCGCTCGATCCAGCCTTGAATTTGCTTGAGTGGGTAGACATGGGTGCCTGTGGTGGCGATGACGAGATTTTTCAGAATACCCATTGTAGCGATTGGGGGTGGGGGAGGAGTACTCTGGATAGCAGTGCTGAAGAGATGGTTGTAGTGCTGATATAGACGAGGTCACCGCCTACTTGTCTCAGAGCTAGTTGCGTTATCTCTGTGAGTTGTTTTACCTTGTGGTGGTTTTTGGTGCTCAAGGTGATACTGGATCTGTTTACGCGGTGACGCTGCAGCTACAAGGTAAAATACCATTGTGAACTCACACATTCAACCCTCCTCAGACCGCATTTTTCACAATAAACCGTCCCATACATCAGTGCGGGATAGCACTGAGGCCTAGTTAGAACACCAAGATTGCATCCTATCAGTCAAAATCTAGAAGCAAGGTGTTGTTAAATACGTTTTATTCAAGTGAAAAGCCTCGGTCTAGATACCTTGTCAACAATGCGTCTTTATGAGGCTTGTTTACAAACTCTTAGCCGCCTTCACAAACGAACGTATCTTGTCCAAGCTCTGCTGACCATCCTCCTCAACACCACTGCTGACATCAACTGCATAGACCCGGTCTCGATACTCATCAAGCCCAGAGAGCGTTGTCTGTACGTTGTCTGGGTTCAAGCCTCCTGCCAGTATGATCTTGATGCCATCATCCTTGGCAAATACTGCCTTGACGTCTGTCAATTCCAGTTGCTGGCCAGAGCCTCCTGACCCAGCATCCAGCAAGGGAAGAGCATGGTAACCTCTTGTGCCGATACCATGGTCTTGCGGTTTAAATGCTTTCAGGACAGGAACAGGGATAAGCTTCACCCACTCAAGTGGCTCTTGGCCGTGTAATTGCACAACATCCAGATTTAGTAACCGCTGCTGCTCAAGCACATACTCTAGCGACTGATTGCGGAAGACTCCCACGAGCAGCGCACGACTATCGCCTCCAACAAGTCGTGATGCACCATGATCAAAAAAGTCGGACGCGGTCTTTGAGTCGGCCAGGAGCCCTGATTTTGAGACATTCGGCTTCTTGGTTTTGTGAACTGCTTCAGATATCGCAAGGGCCGTCTCTGCTGTTACTGTTCGCTTGAGTCCAGGAGCAAGAATTATGCCGATAAGATCGGCTCCCGCTTCGACCGCAGCTACAGCAGCCTCTACACTTTGTGTCCCACAGATCTTGACCATTGGACCAGAAGATGCCCGAACTTCCTCGGTAGTAGTTCCACCTAGGAGCTCTGAGATGAATTGTGCAGTGTTTGACGCCCGCATAAGCGCTTCTCCAACTAAGACTGCACCAACCCCACTCTTGATGTACGGCTCTACATCCTTGGGGCCAGCAATACCACTCAGCGCGCACAGGATTGTCTCTTTCGGGACCATATTTATCAGGCGGTTCGTTGTTTCCATGTCGACCTCGAAGTTTACCAGGTTCCGGTTGTTCACGCCGATAACCTGGGCGCCCAACTTGACTGCAATCTCAGTCTCGTCAGCATTCTGCACCTCAACTAAGGGCTCCATTCCAAGTGATCTGGAGTAGTCGTAGAGTTTCTTCAGGACCGGCTCCTCTAGCATCTTGACAATTAGCAACACGGTATCCGCACCCGCAAGCCTAGCCTCGAGGATCTGGTACACATCGAAGATGAATTCCTTGCGCAGCACGGCAGGCCGGTTGGGCATGCCTTCAATGCTCTGTCGAACGGCCTTGAGGTCCTCAATACTACCCTTGAACCATTCAGGTTCTGTGAGCACGGAAATGGTGCTGGCGCCAGCCTTGGCATACAATCTGGCTTGAGCAGGCGCACACGTCGACAGCGAAATGATACCTTTGGAAGGCGACGCACGCTTGATTTCAGACATGAGCGAGAGTCTGAAAGGAGACTGTCTAAGACGTTCCGGAAAGTTGATCTGCGGCGGGGCCAAATTCAGGTCATATGCAGCCTGTAAATCGATAGGTCTTTGAGAGGGGATCTTCTTCTGCTCAGCAACGGCTGCCCTGCGGTGATCGTAAATCTTTTCCAAGATGGAGGTCTGCTTGTCCTTCTTTGCGCCGTTGGCAGTGTCGTTGGAAGCAGCTCCAATTGCCTGGGCATGTGCCTCTTTCTGCAGTCGGTCGTTCTCAGCCCACGTGCCTCCTTGCATCTTGAGGAAGTTTCTCATCATAAGACGTCCATGCTCGGTCAAAATGCTCTCTGGATGAAACTGCACGCCTTCAATCACATACTCTTTGTGGCGAACGCCCATGATGACCTCCTTGATCTCGGCATCTGCATTTGCGGGAATGGTTGCAGTAATCTCAAGGCAGTCTGGAAGGGTGCCGTGAGTACCGGCAAGAGAATGATACCTAGTAACTGGTACATCCTGGGGCACGCCTGCAAAAACACCCTTGGCATCGTGCTTGAGAGGGGATGTTTTTCCGTGGAGAATCTGACCAGTAACGTCTACGGTGCCTCCGTAGCTGTAGAAGATGCACTGTCTGCAATGTGTTAATAATGTGCCGTCCACACCATACAAGGCTTCGCGATAGCATATAGCGGCATTGCTCGAAGACACTGCACAACGAATGCCAAACACGAGATTCAACCGATGGAAAAGAAAAGGGCAGGAACTCACTCTCCCATGCATACGCCTAAAATAGGAATTTTGCCACTGAAGTGCTTAATGGTTGCATTGCTAATGCCAGCGTCCTTTTCCGGGTGTCCAGGACCTGGGCTGATGACAAGCTGAGTGGGCTTCTTTGCGATGAGCTCATCAAGGGTAATCTCATCATTGCGATAGACAGTTACGAATGCACCCTCAAAGACAAGGTACTGATAGACGTTCCAGGTGAAAGAGTCGTAGTTGTCAATGAGGATGACATTGGAGGCGGTGGGTATCGGCGGAGAGGGGTTGGGATTGCGAGGCGAGTGGTCAATCAAGCTGATGGGTGACATTTTGGTGGAGGTAGTAAGATTGTTCCGACAACGGGCCAGGAAAGGTGGTATATAACTTTTTATCGGGGCCGCCTCCGGCACTTGGGCAACGGCACAAGACTTCGGTGCTTTGCCGGCGATACACGTTGTATTTGGTGGGGTGTTGAGGTGAGATGCAGGTGCTGGAGGAGGGTATTACGCAGTTGCCGGAGGCTCGGTGGAAAAGAGAGTATGGGCGGGAAGTGCGGTGGGGTGAGGTGAGTCAAGGATGTGTCAATGAGATGTATATTGAGGCTGCGGAGTTAACACGGAGGTGGCACGCATTAGTCCTGAGTGCCATTGCAGGGCAGGAAAACCACGGCAGACATGCTGCAGACATGTACAATACACAAGTAACGGGGTGCGATCACACTACACTAAATTTCACTGCATTTCACTGCATTATGCCGGCGTGTTGAGACGATAACATGCCATGGCCACATGTAATGGACGTAGAGGGCAAAGTTGGGTGGTCCTGATCCCTGCACGTGCTAGCCCGACTTTCGTGTGAGCTCTGGGTTTGGCGACCGTGCATTCTATACAGACATTCACGTCGACGCCAAACAGACGGCCATTGCCCACCCGCGCCCCAACACCCCCTTCATGGCCTTTGGCTAGCTGGCCTACACGTCGCGCACCCCAGCGCAAACATGGCCCCCCTTCAATCGCCCGACTTCGACCTGGCAAAGTGCCTCAACGGCGAGCAGCAGCTGGTGTATGTTTACCGCCTCGTACTCTTTCTCTCCACCACCCACAACCCTTCTAACACACTCATCCAGCACCTGGAACGTCGCATACCGCGCCCTCTGTGACCCTGTAACCGCGTCCAAAAGTGACGCCCTACGCGCCTTCCTCTCCGCCAAAGAAAACATCGACACCCTCACCCACCCATGGCGGCCCTTCCCAGACCCGTCGTCGCAGGAAAAATCAAAGTTTGAATCCAAGACAGCGCCTATCAGCGTCACTCCCGCCCAGAGCGATCACTATGATGTAGAGGAGATCAAAGAAGACAGCCTTTGGCTAGCCAAGGAAGCGCAAATCTCGGAATACGCAGCCTTGCAGCTTGTTGTGCAGGAATGGCAGGGTCGCCCTGCCGCCCAGCTGCTGAGTGGTCTGACGGAAGAGGAGGCGCTCAATGTGCAAGACGCGGCCGGAATTGCCAACCTAGGCGCCTCGACCTTTGTCCCAAACTCGTCCCTCCTCGCAACACCGCTCGCTTCTAAGACCGCCCACCTCGATACAAAGAACCAGCGCCGTCTGCACATCCTCGACATCTACCACTCGACCTGTGCCTCCATCATTCGCATAAGCCAGCTTCTGGTCTCGTGGGGCTGCGCATCCAATCTGCGCAATCAGACCATATATGGCACCGAATACCTCAGCATTGGCGCCGGATGGATTGAAGAGCTCGGCCAGACTATCGCGACAGCACAGGACGGACCCTCAGGTGGAAAGGCACTAGACGAATGTCTCAAGGCCTTCTCAAAGAGATGTGATTCCTTGGATACCGGCTATGCGTGGAATGTGGACGATTCAATACTCGAAGCAGCATCCGAGAAGTGGGTCGTTGCCCAAACCACCGAGTTGCTACACATTCTCCACTTGGCACTAGTACATGCCGATTTGGTTGCAAAAGAATTCCTTCCGGCGGCCACGATTGAAGACTGGCTCAAAGCCTTTAGTTTCCGCGGCTTCTTTCGCGAATTTCCCGCAGTCACCGCTCGCCAGGAGCCTCTTATCCCCGTCATTCAACTCTTGACTTCACTCATGTCCCTGACTATCTTGAAGGTTGACAAGATTATGGACGATCTCGAATCTGGCGATTGCAACACCTGGCATTCTTCGTCGTACATCTTAAACACCAATGTTGTGGAGACCATCACGACCATATTCGGAGAGGCCAAGGTATTGGGTGCCAGTCCTGCCACACCACCCATGTTTGCCTGGGCCCTCGTAACGTGGAAACTTACAAGCCGTGCGAGCTACGAGGAGCAAGAACGTGACCGTCTCCTCGAATCATCAAATGGCGCCGGAAACACCGAATCCGAGCCCTCTTCCCTTGAGGAGGCTGCTTTGGTAATTACAAAACTCGAGAACCACGAGCTA